GCCTTAATCACATCTATATCAAAAATAAATTCCATTTGGAGTAAAGATTTAAATCTTAAAAAATTAAAAGAAAAGAAAACACAAACAAATATTTATATAACATTGAGATGGAGAAGACTTTTCTAAACATATTACCAAAAGCAGAAATCATGGAAGAGATTTATCTAAATGGAAAATGTAATATTTCTATATATCAAAGACATCATGAATTAAATTTGTACATATATGACAAGGGGCAAAATGTCTGCAGCATATAGAACAAATGGTTGATGGTTTTAATATATAAAGAGCTCTTATAAATCAATAAAAAGTGAACTCCCAACAGAAAATTAGCAAATGTGTTTATTCATTCCTTCAACAGGTATTTATTGTGCATCTAATATGTGCCAAGTATTGTGCTAGGGGCTAGAAATACAATGTTAAAGAATCTAGACATCCAGACACAGTCTCTTCCCTCATTCATTCCAGTCTGAGAAACAGACATACATATAAAAAGTAAATAAACAAATAAATAAAGTTACAAATTGAGATAAAGGATTGAGTAATGAAGAAAACAAAGAACCAAGATAGCAAATGGGAAAAGAGTGGTGAGGACTACTTTCAATCAATGCTCTGGGCAGGCCTTTCTCAAGATGTATTTAAGCCTTATATAAAGGATAGCCAAGGAGAGCAGATTAAGCAGAGATAACATTTACTAAGCCCCTGAGGTACAGAAAAGATCTCGGCATGTTGGAGGAACCAGTGTGGCTGCATCACAGTGAGCAATAAAGAGGTGAACTTGGATGGGGATGGAGAGAACAATAAGCATCAGTTTGTACAGGACTGTGTAAGCCATGTGGGGGGGTTAGATTTTATCCTATGAGCAACAAGTTACTCAATTCCATTTATAGTCGTTGTTGCCACTGTATCAAGAATGTACAGAAGTGGGTCATGGGTCAAGAGTAGAAGCAGAGAGAATAGGTAGGACTGGCTGTCACAGTAATCAAGTGAGAAAAAATACTCATCAGGATTAAGTGATAGCGTTGGAAATGGAAAGAAGCAGACAGATTAAAGGTATATTTTGGAGATAAAACTAACAGATTATGCTGGTCTATTTGATGTAAAAAAAGAGGTCATCAAAAGAATCAAGGATGACTCTTAGGTTTCTAGCTTGAACAACTGGTAGGATGGTGGTGCTATTTACTGTAATAGAGAAGAGGGGAAACAGCTTTGGGATAAGAATGAGGAATTAGATTTGGGACATGTTAAGTTTGAAAGATCTGACTCATCCAAACGAGGATATTAAGCAAGCAATTAGATATGTGGGTCTAGAACTTAAAGGTCAAGGAAGGAAACAAATTTGAAACCCTTCAGCATAAAGATGGTACTTAAATCCATGGAAACTGATAAGAAGTACATGGAAAAAAAAGGGGGGGACCTGAGTAGAGGTGAGAAATCTCAACTTCTCAAAGGTAGGCAGAAGGAGTCTAACACTGATCAGTGAAGGAGGAAGAAGACAAGGACAGAACAGTGTCTTGGATATGAAGGGAGAACATTTAAAGAAGCAGAGAGTGGTCAAGGTGAGGACAGAAAAGTATCCTCTTGAATAGGGTAATATGAAAGTGACTGGGGACCTTAACAAGGACACTTGCAATGCTGGTGGTGGCGGGGGAGTCACATTGTGGACTGAAAAGTAATTGGAAGATTAGAAAATTAAGACAATATATAACTCCAAAGAAAAGTTTAGCTATGAAGGAGAGCTGAGAAATGGCTAACAGATGGGAAAGATGTGGTTTAGATGGGGGGATACTGGAACATGTCCGCAGGCTGATGAGAATGATCCATTCAAGACAGAGATTGATGATGCAAACAAGAGAAAGGGGAAAATCTAAGGAGAAAAATGTCCCCAGAAAGGCGACAGGAAATGGGATCCAGAGCACAAGAGGGGCTGGCCTTTGAAACTTCCTCCATAGTCACCAAAATGAAGGAGATGGTTACCAAGGTAGCTGGGTTGGGGGTGAGAGGACGGAGAGGGGGTGTGTGTCTGATGGTGGGAAGATGAAGAAGTTTTTATGTAATATCTTCTATTTTCCAAGGGAAATTTAATGTAAACAGGCAGGAGGGGATCAAAAAAACATGAGGAGAGATGAAAAGGTTTATCAGTTTTAGTGGGAATCTGAGGCTCCCTAGGAACAATAGCACCAATTTGAGGTTGGGAATAACAAGTTAGAAGTGAAACTGACTGCACTGTGTGATTTTCTTGAGGAAAATGTTCAGTTGTCCCAATCAAACCCATGGAAGGCAGATAGTAAAGTTGATCCAGAGTTGGGATTTTACCAGGCAAGTAAACTGGAAGAAATTGAGGTTCAAGACTGCTGAGAGCACTGTATTTCAAGGAGGATGATTACAATGATGGACCGTGGCATCTAGGCTAGACAAGGTGAATGAATCAAGGAAGATTCCACTATCAAGGAAGTGAATCTAAAACAGGGGCTGATAGTGGGGAAAATGAGGTTAATGAATTAGCTGTCAGTAAATGAGGGATCCAGAAGGATAGGAAGATGGTGATTGGAGTGGAATGTCTGATAAGGTGTTCTCTCTGGTCCTTCTAGAAGCAGACACCAAGGCAGGGTTCAACTAGCAAGAGTTTTATTGAGGGAACATCTGTTAAGGAAAAAGGTAAGGGAACAGAAGCAGGGAGGGGGAGGCCTTCACACCATAATGCAAGTCTGACACTACGAAAGGACAGGGGGGTTAAGCAAGAAGAGCCTTAGACTGCATGCAGCACAGTTCTAAGAAAGTTTCAGCCAGGCTGCTGAGGAGTCCCCACGACAAAGTCGCTCCTTAGAGGAGTCCGGCCTGTCACGTGAACGGGCCATCACTAATACCCACACTGTGCTCAGTTAGGGGCCGGGAGTGGCCCAGGAGAAGCATGGCTTCAGTGCAAAACGGAGCGGATCCCCTGGGATGGCAGTCTAGAACCATGGGGGCAAGGACTGATTCCGAAGGGAAGAAACGGTCATTGGAGATGAAGTTACAAAGAGGACACTGGATGTTGGAGCTCAAGTTCAACCACAGTTGTGCATTACACACTCCAGATTGGGTTGATGACCCCGTAGTCACTGGATTTGTACACTAAAACAATCTTCTGGCAGATGGGGGGTGGAGTGGGTAACTAGCCTGCTGATGATAAGGATTTGCGGTGAAGAAGACTAAAGCGGTAGCTAGTCTTTGAAGAACTGACGAAAGAAACGGCCTAGGAAGTTGACAACTTACAAAGAGGGAAAGAGGATGCTACTGTCCAGTGACAAGAGTCTCAAAAAAGCCGGGGTTGGGGCAGGCAGCATGAGGAAGTAATGCTCCGAGAGCAGCAACGACTAGCACGGAGGCCGTCCTCCCGCCCGCCGGCCCTAAGGCACACGGTCGTCCCGAGGGGCCGCGTGGGCAAGAATTCTGGGGGGAACGAGCTTCGAGGACAGCGAGGGGCAAGGGAGGTGCGCGAACGGCCGAGCGCCCGGGGAGTTCGCGGCGGTCGGAGCGGACTTCCCAGAGCGCGGGAGGGGCTGGAGGGCGCGCGGGGAAGAAGGCGGGCCGCGGCGGGGCGCCTGAGGTACTCGGGCGGTGCGGCGCGCTGGCGTAGTCCCGCCGGTGGCCGGGCGGCGGCGCTCACGGCGGCGCGGGCTTCCCGAGGCCGCGGGCGGCGTGCTGGCGCTCCCGGGCGGCGCCGCCGCGGAGCTTGGCGCGGCAGCTGGCGGCGGCCTGGCGCGTGGTGACGGCGCCCGCGGGCGGGCAGCGGCTCCCCGGGGCGGCCGGGCGCAGGGCGGCGGCGCTGCGGGGCGACGGCTTCCCGAGGCTTCGGCCCGCACGGGCGGCAGCGGTCCCCATGGAGAAAGACAAAGACACGCCGGTTAGAAACGGGACCCACGCGCCGGCTCCTCCCCGCTAATCCGGGAGCCGCGAACCCCAACTTAGCGCGATGCCTTTTCGCCCAACAGGTTGTCCCAGGCACCGAAGAGAAACCCGTGTTGATCAGAGGGAACCAGCCTCCAGCTGAAGTCGCATCCAGGGGTTAGCAACGTAAGGAAACTATCAAAACCTTTAAGGTTTTTTCATACGTTGACCTAGCCATTCTAGTTTTAGAATTTTCCCCTAAGGAATAATTATGAATACATACAAAATTTCCATAAAGGGTGTTCAGTGTAGTATCTATAACAGAAAAAAACAACATAAACAAAAGGCAAAGAAATTTTAAAAAGAAATAAGGAAAAACGAAATAGTAAGATGTCGGTTCGATTACGGTCTTTTTCTTATAGTGGATATTAGCCTGCTATTAAAAATCAGTTTTCATCCCCATTTGTAGTGTGTGTGGAGGGGTGTATACTTATGTGCGTACATACACACACAACATGCCACAGATGTGTAAAATAATGGAAACACCCCAAAATGTTACAGGGTCATCTCCAGGTGATGAGGCCGCAGGTAATCTTGAGATATTTCCCAAATTGTATACAATAAGCACATTTTATTTTTATAATAAAAAGCACAAGTTAACTTAAAAAATTTACTCCATCCTTCCGTACCCATTCTAATTTTATCCCAATTCAAATTTATGAAAATAATATTGTTTAGTAAACTGGTGGACATCAGATTTTAAGAATGAATGGATGGTCCCCAGAAATACTTTACCTTTCAGAAAGGTTCTGAGTAAATCAGAGTATTACAAAGCAGTTTATCCCTGGGGTGCCTGGGTGGCTCAGTCCTTTAAGCATCTGCCTTTGGCTCAGGTCATGATCCCAGAGTCCTGGGATCGAGCCCCACGTTGGGCTCCCTGCTCAGCAGGAACCTGCTTCTCCCTCTCCTCCCTGCTTGTGCACTCTCTCGCTATCTCTGTCACTATCTGTGTTAATTAACTGCTCCTGAACAGAAAGAAGGCTGTCTGAGCTTTTTATAAATCATTCTCTCTCCAAAAACCTTATTTGCCACCAAATGAGTTCTAACATAAACAGGATTAAATACAGATAAAACAGAAGAGCATTTATTTTGGGTGCTGTAGTCCAACTTTCATTATCCACAGTGATACAATTTGATTTGACAGTTTTGAGTACCTACTGTCTCAGGCACTGTGCTTAGACACTAAGACCAAAGAAGATAACAGGGGGCTGCTACATTTGAGAAGCTCTATCTAGAAAATTACCTTCAGAGAATAACCCAGACCCTGGAGCTAATCTGAATCCCTGCATCACCCCTCAGTCCTGCCAAAGCTTTCCTTCTCACATTCTTTACATGAGCTTTCTAGTTTTCTGTCATTCCTTTGCTCAGTTTCATACATAGCATCCCATTGTCTCCACACTAGCTAAATTATTAGTTCTTAACCTTTCGGGGGAGTCAAAGACCAGTTTGAGATTCTGATTAAAGACACGGACTTCTCCCCCAGAAACATGCACACAGATACATACAACACATCTTTATTTCACTGCACTGGAAACTGTTTTCCTGAACATAAGCAATATATAAAAAAAACTATTTATAAAGGATTATGCCTCCCCCACATTGTTATTTTTCATAAAAGAAAAATGATGGCTTCCTGAAGAAACTTAATTTAAAAACTTCTAACTGCCCAGTAGTAAATCTCAACGAGATTTGGCTTATTGAGATGAAATTACAATACGGTCTTTGACATAGCAACACATACATCTTCTTCGATAATCAATTGCAACTTTTTTCTCCATGGTAACAAGTACTGAAATCTTTGACTCACAAAGGTACACAGAACCAAAGCAGAATTCCACAGAATGCTTTGTCAGGTTGAGGCAGCCTCTGTACTGGGACACTAAATTCCTCCAAGCCCTTCAAGCTAGAGTCAAGTAACATTATTTCCTCTGCTTTCACATTCAATTAAGACCTCTTGAAAGGCAGCAGACTTCTGTCTAGTAGAGAAAAACATCCTATTCTGTTCCTCTTTCTTGGTAATACCTCTTGGAAAGGTGGTGACAGCAGCTGATACAGAGGGTAATGAGACACAGTGACGTGTGGCTATCCTTCCCTCATCAAAGCAGGAAAGCCATGATGTGTACCTGACATGACGAGCACACATCTGCCCTGAGTGCTATCATTTTTTTTCTTCCATTTGAATATTAGAGAATTGTTCTGAAAATGTTGACAGCCTTTCCAATTTCCAAAAAGTATCCTAAAATGGAATTCTTCTTTGATGACATCAGGGAGCACATGAAAACGTGAAGCTTGATGCACTGAGAGGCATCAATAATCTCATCCAGTTGCATGCTGAACATCCAAGTTTTTCTAATTCTGAAGTAAGTGATATTTGACAGAAACACTGCCTCAATTCTTTCATGAACCATGGTTTAAGAAACTTTGCACCAAACTACTGGACTCTCCACTCCCCTAACATACACTATTTCTCACCTCTATGCTTTTATTCTTAGCATTTCACCCATCAAAAATGTTTTCTCCCTCATCTATTCAAACACTGCCCATCCCTCAAGGCCCAGACCAAAGCCACTCCTAACAAGCTTTCCCTGAATATCTCAGTCTGAAATGATCTCTCCATTTTCTGAACTCCCACAACAGTAAGTGTTGTTCTGAGACCACCAGCTTCAAAAATGCACCATAATCTGTATTTTTACAAATACCAGAAAGAGCTGTGGCAATGTCTCTACTCTTTTCCTAAATCTGTTTTGCCACTCTTAAAGGAATAACTGATCCCTGGATGGATGAAAAGGGAAAGGCTGACAATGCTCATTGTTGCTGGAGGGACCAACTGACTCATCTCAATTTTTCCTTTCTGTACTCATTTTCATACAAAAAGTTTTGATTTGCCAAATGTGTATTTGTCATAGCTGCAATATCAATGTTGACTGTTGAATTCACCATCATCATACCTATAACCTCTGGGGTTTTCAATCATTGCCTCCCCATTCCATGGCCATCCTGCTATTCTAAGAATCCAGATCCTGCTACCATTTTCAAAATAACTTTACATTCTATGAGAAAGATTTTAAGCAGAGCTTGAAATGAAGGTAAGCATGATTAGATGGAAAGGGCTGTAACTGACATCATCTGTTCAAATAAGATATAAACCTATATATATTCTAGAGCTGAACAGTAACTTAAAGATGATCTCTTTCAATAGATTCACATTGCAGATGGGAAACTGTGGGGAATGCAGTATTTTGGAGCAAAAAACCTGAAATTTGAAAAGAATCAGTCTCAAAAACAAAATGGTAACAAAATCATTCAGAGCCAAAAAGGACTGACCTAATTAGCTCATGGACTCAACATTAAGGATAAATGAAATTAAGGAGTTAAAAGAACTAAAGAATAAGGAATGAAAATAACTCAAAATGTAAAAGATGGAAGAGATCAGTTATCTAAAGAAATGGCCCAAAATACTGTCTGACATTACAGGTATCAAGGTGACCTGAACTCAACACCACTTATACTTATCAATATTAGTTATTTAATTATTGTATGCCAGGCACTGAGCTATTTTACAGATACGAATGCCATTTTATTAAACTCTAATGGAAAAAAATGTGCCAAAGGAGATCATCTATAGTAACTATGTAAGAAAAAAAATCAAGAAATCAAAAGCTGGCCATCTGTCTGCAGCCTAGTCTAGTAAAAAGGATACTCTGAGAATTGAGAACATCTGGTCTGAGTGGCAAATATATTCCTTGGGAAAGATGAATGCATTATACTACCAGAACTTGCTGATTTTGGTCACTGAGAGCTGATTCAATGCTCATCAAGCAACCTTCTGATTATAATTTAGTAGATTGTAGACTTGCCTATTTGGAGAAAATACACTGAGCCATAAAAATGAGAAACTAGTATGCCTGATACCTCTCATTGCAAATTTCAAAACTAGCATTGTGGAATTTACACACCAGTATCTAGGAGGTTGGTTAGTGACCCAGTTCTCTAGCACCCAGTCACCTTGCTAGATCAACCAGTAATCAAGGCCAGCCTTAGAAAGTAATGGCCATGTCAGTTACCTGTGAGGCCTGGCAGGGAGGCTAGCCTGCCTTCCCTGTCTTGTTCACCATCTTCAAACTACAATGCCATGTGATTTCAAATACACATAAACACATACACATGCACATGCATGCAGCACACACACACACACACACACACAAGAACCAGTTAGGAATGAAAATGATGGAAAAAGGAGGAAGAAAATACAGTGTTTCTCCAGGCTCCAGGGCACCACCTTGTGAATTTATAGCTTAGTTTTTACAGCAGAGAAGGCTCAAGATTGGGTTGTTTTTTTTTTTTAAATGGCACCAATAAGCATTTGTTTCACTTGTTAAATTAGTCACCTACACCAAAAAAAAAAAAAAAAAAAAAAAAATTCAAGTAGAAGTAGAATTGGGACATACAAACTTACACCAAAGAATAGATATCAAAACATTTCCTGTGTCTCACATAATACATGGTTACTTTAGGGTTTTGTTTTTGTTTGGGGTGCTTTGTCAGTTTTTGTTTTCTGATAACAACTCCATAGGAGACCTATAAATAGCAAGGTTCTAACATGACTTATCACAGTTTTTGACAAGACTAGTTCTCAGTCTTAAACCAAGAATCCCAGAGTCAGAATGCAATAAGAACCAGTAGAACCCTGTGTCCAAGGTTGAGGATAACACACATAAAAGCTGCACTAAAGCTATAAGCCTCAAAGATACGATCTTATTTGTTCTACTACTGAATTTTAACTATTGTGAAAGTATTATGAAAATATACTTAGTATGATTAACTTTTTTCCAATCAGTAATGGAGTGATAATTAATACTATTTTCAAACAGAATTACTCAGTAAATACTGCTGTCTTAGGGAGAACACAGGATTACTGTCCATCTAAAGTAAAATTCAAATATAAATACTTAATCTCTATAAATCCTATCATGGACATTTGGCATGGGACATATTTTTTTAATGGATTTGCCTTTTGTGATATAGTTTGGTCCAAAAGATCTAAAATCGTGCAGTTCTTTAGTCTCCATTAATCTCTGAAAAATAAAGCCATAATTGCATTGATACATATATGTTAGCCAAAATAAACCCAGAATGATCAAAATTAAGGACACATTTTTATACAGATGATCATGAGTCATGCTCCCTTTAATCAAGAAGATTAAAACACATAGTTACAATCTGTTTTGAGAAACAAATGAAAAATTCTATCTGTTATTTGCATATGAGGTTGGAGATTTAAAAATTTAGAAAATAGGGGAGCCTAACTGACTCAGTCAGTAGAGCATGTGACTCTTGATCTTGGAGTTGTGAGTTCAAGCCCCATGTTGTGTGTAGAGATTACTTAAAAATAAAATCTTTAAAAAAAAAGGTATTAAAAAGTTATAAAATAGGGGCGCCTGGGTGGCTCAGTCATTAAGTGTCTGCCTTCGGCTCAGGTCATGATCCCAGGGTCCTGGGATCGAGCCCCGCATCGGGCTCCCTGCTGGGCGGGAAGCCTGCTTTTCCCTCTCCCTCTCCCCCTGCTTGTGTTCCCTCTCTTGCTGTGTCTCTCTCTGTCAAATAAATAAATGTTTAAAAAAAAGAATTTATAAAATAAACATTTGTGATTTGATATTTATAACATCATTGCTTTTGCTTTTCACTGGCACTGAGAAACTGTTTTGTACATACCAAACAGATTTTTACACAAGTCTAAAGGTAAATCACTTTCCTGAAAACTTTGCCTGTCATTTCTTTCTCAAATGGAAAAGCAAATATCCTAATCAGCTATTTTAGGTTACTAGCAATAATAATTATTATATATATTTCACTTATTTTTTTTAACTTCAACATTTATCATAAAATAAATCAATGACCATGATTCCTTTCTGAAAGTAATGTGAAATACTACATTATGGTCACATGAGGAATTCAATATATACTAGAAACAAAGAATAATTTAAGACTTGTCCATTCACATGAACAAAAACTGGTTGTTTAAATGACAGACAGTATAGTAAAATGAAAGTTCATGAACCAAAGAATACAAATATCTGGGTTCTACAGAATTCAGACATATGCTATGTGGGGGAAAAAAAAAGTAAAAAAAAAAAAAGGTACAGAAGAGTGTATACAAACATGCTACCAGTTTCATCAAGGGGAATGTATACATTTATATATTTATATATACATAGAACAGCTCTTGAAAGCCCAAGAAACTGGTAATTTGACTCTGGGGTAGAGAATAAGGGAATAGAGAGATGGGATAGGAAAAAAACTTACCTTTCACAGAACACCTCATCGTACTGTTTTATTTTTTTACATGTATGTGTTATTACCTACTAAGATAATCTTTAAGAGATAGCTGGCCTCTATTCCCGACTTCTTTATTAACTACATTGTGACCTGGTGCAATCACTTACCTCAACTTTCTCCACTTTAAAATGAGGTTCTACTAAATCTCTAGAGTCCCCATGTGCAATTCAACAGAATTATGCCTCAAAAGATGGCACATACAAAATGCCAGGTGGCTAAAAAATAATAATAATTGTAAGACCTTACTTTGCAGTGACTTATATAACACGATATTATAATTATTTACATTTCTGCCTGCTCTGTTCCCATGAGGCTATAAGGGAAAAAAAAGCACCATAGCAAGAAAGTGAGTCTGGGAATAAAATTCATGTTTGGCAACTCAACAGTGTTTCTCTTCTTTGTTTCCGGTTAATCCTCCTTTTTTATATATCTAAACTATTGCTCCTAAAATACAGACTTCCAGAATATATTTTGATAAATGAATAAATACTAAAAATAATTGTAAAAGGGTAGAATTTTTGTAGCAGAGTTTAAAAAATGGATCCTGTGATAGGAAAAAGGCTGAAAAATCACCCCCTATTCACATAAAATTAGCCCAAGAATCTCCTAAAATCATTCATAATCTTCATTAACACAAGATACTAAGAGAACCAGAGAAGTCAAGTGGAGAACAATAAAAGTTTAGGCCAAAGTAAGACATGAAGAGGACCCTGAAAAGAAAGAAACCCAAACTGACATCTGGAGAACGGAGAAGAGGAAGAGGCCTGGCGATCCATTTATTCATGATGCTGCAGAGAAAGACTGTTGGGCCTCAACGGGCTTAGAGTCTAATCTTGGGGACATTCTAGTTAAATAATAATGCAATAATAACACAAAGGATGAGAGTGCAAAATGAGTGGTAAGGTAAATGTCATGAGTTCATCCGAGGAAGAGATCACCAGGGGTTGGAGCTATCAAGAACAGATTCATAAAAGAAACAGGATTTTGAAATCTGTGTGAGAAGCAAAATGGTGGTGGTAAGCATGGGCAGAATAAAGTAAGCAAGGGAAGTCAGTGCTGGGAGCAGAATGATGGATTTAGTTTTAATCACAGTCTGACTTTAAATAGTAACTTTGCAAAACCTGTTGGAAATTAATTTCAAATACTAGGTTGCCAAACTCCCTCCACAGACTACTACAGAGGAGTGATGCCAGGCTCGTATGATGTCAAAAGTGACTGAACAGGCTCAAATATAAGATCAATATTCATCTAGATGTAACTTTTAATAGGGCAGGGCTCTGAGGTATGAGCAAATCATACTTATACAGGATGTTTGGCAAGCCTCTTCCAGTATTTTCTTGCAAGTACCTAGCATCATTTCCTATCACAACCTTCATACTCAGGAGTCAGCTCCACCCAAGATACACAAAACCAGGAAATCAAGAGCTGCCAGTTTTACTTTTCTATTGATTAAGGCTGTGAACTGGGTCTAGTTGATGTAATAGAGTGCTGTGGATTTTATTAAATGAGAAAGAATGTCAAAACAAAAAGCCACCCTCTATCTCTCAGTGATCTAGTAAAGCTAAAAGCATATTAAACCACTTAATAAATTTTGGCATAATACAGAATATAAATTCAAGGTATTGTCTTATGGATAAAAAATCTGTGGGTATTATTGTAACATGATAAATTTTGTAAGAAATTCCTAAATAAAATTTCTAAGATGTTGGCATAGGGCAAGAAAGAATATCAACAAATAGAAAGAAGGTTATTAAACAAATGAAGTCCTCAATGCAGAAAATATATATTCTAAAATTCTATTCCACTCTTCATTTTTGTTACAATCCTACAAGTGCCTAAATACATAAATTACCTTTATTCAATAATCTCTTAGTGATTTACTGAGGTGAGAATGGGTATATAGAGGCTTGCCAGGAAAGAAAATATGTTTAAAAACAAATTTATTTAGAAAAGAAGATTTGAAACAAGTATTAGTTAAAAGTTTATGATTTAAAATAATTCTGTGCTACAGCAATGTGCCTTGTGTTATTTTGACATGGATATTAGGTTTATGCTAATGCCTATTATTAATTTAAAGTTCAAATAACAAGAAAAAGAAATTGTTTTTAAAGCATTAGAACAGAAAACTTTGAAAGTTTCTTTTCTCATTTAACTACAGATTATAAGACTATAATATAGCTGTCCTCTTCTAGTTCAAGTCTGTCAGCATTTCTATTACTGAATTCAGTTTTGTTTTTTTTTTAAAGATTTTATTTATTTATTTGACAGAGAGAGAGACAGCGAGAGAGGGAACACAAGTAGGGGGAGTGGGAGAGGGAGAAGCAGGCTTCCCGCGGAGCAGGGAGCCCGATGCGGGGCTCGATCCCAGGACCCTGGGATCATGACCTGAGCCGAAGGCAGACGCTTAACCGACTGAGCCACCCAGGCACCCCACTGAATTCAGTTTTTAAGGGTCATAACTCATCCATAAAATTCACTCTATTAAAACTTGATACAGATAGTCTCCCAGGAATTCTTCCCTTTAAAGGCAGATTTTAAAAGTTAATCAACAGCTGGATAGCTCAAATGGTATACAGACCTGTGCTTTCAGTATTAAATCACTGACTTCAAGCCCAAGCAGGGCTGACTTCTTAAAACTCATTCTGCATACCCTCCTCAGTATCCACTGGCCTGGGCAGGGTAAACAGGCTGCTTCACGTCAGTTTTGAGGGCACAAAAACCACCTGTGGAGAGCTCTAGTGGCTATATAGATGGCAAGGTCTAAACCTTCATTCAGAAAAGAAGGAAAAGAAATTGGGAGAAACCAGTGAGGGCCAGAGGAACATATATGACAATGCAGGACCTAATTTTTAACTGTTATCTTAAATATTCACCTATCCAAAAAGTGCAGCTTGGAAAAGTAAAATTAATATACTTCAATCATCTGTTCAGGGTTTAACAGCACATTTTCCCCCTTAGATTCTGGCTGTGGATACTAAGTTAAGTTTATCCTATGGATTATGTCAGATCCTATTAGTTTAGTGAGATGGCTTCCTCCTAGTTTTCAGAAATAGTTTCTGCCTTGATCAGAAGCATAGGGACTAGGGACACCTGGGTGGCAGTCAGTAAAGCATCCAACTCTTGATTTTGGCTCAGGTCATGATATCAGGGTTGTGAGATCGAGCCCCACATTGCGCTTTGCACTGGACATGGAACCTGCTTAAGATTCTCTCTTTCTCTTTCTCCTTCTGCCCCTCCCTGAGCCCCTTTTCTCTCTCCCCTTCTCGAAAGAAAGAAAGGAAGGAAGGAAGGAAGGAAGGAAGGAAGGAAGGAAGGAAGGAAGGAAGGAAGGAAGGAAGAAAGAAAAAGGGACTAAATCACAAACAAATCCTGGACATATCCAAGGTATAGGACTCAACAAGCAGTTCTTGTTCTAGTAACACTAGTAGTTTTATTTTTAAAAATAAGGTATTTCCTTTCTAAGGTTAATCTTTCAAAATAGGTCTTACAGATTTCTGTAAAGCTCTCTAAACAAAACACAGGTTAGTTCACATTGCCTCACAGTATTACAATTTAATTATCCAGCACTTCTTAGAGTATTATCAAATACATGTTACATTATAGACTGTTCACATGGCAGCAGAAAGTAGCAGTGGGTGGGGCAGCCGGACAATCAGTGCTAGCCAAACATCATTTCCCAAATGCAAAACTGAAATAGAAAGGCACTGACCTAAATTACACAATAAACCAGAAGAATGTGAGTAGTATGATATGCTGACTCTATTTATTCTTCTTTGTAACCTCTTCAAAACCTAGGGCTTAAAATACACATACACTAATGACTCATAAATCTCAGGCCTCCGGACAATCTCTCTCTTGCCCTCTAGTCTGGATCTACTGGTCCTACTAAGCATCTCCAATGAGATGTTCCATCAGCACCTCAAATTCAACACATCTAAACTTTAATTCAACATTTCCCCCCAGAAAAGTGTTCCTCCTCCTGTGTGCTCTACCTTGAAGAATGGTGTAACCCACCTGCCCAACCAAAATTTTCAAACCTGGCAATCATATTCAATTCCTTATTCATCTCCACCGCCTGGAAAATTCCACTTCCAAAATAATTATAATATCCATACCTGTCTCCCCAGTTTCATTGCCTTACCTAAATGTAGGCCCTTATCACTTCCTACTTAGATTTCTGAAACTGGCTTCTATTTGACTTCCCCACCACAAATCTTACTCCCCACCCCAATTCAATCTCCTCAATGCTATCATATACCCCGGCTTCAAATCTTTCAACAGCTACCCCTAATCTTCAAAATATGATTCAAACTACTTAGTTGGTACAAAAGATCTTTCGTTCTTGATTTGGCCATCACTTTGTCTCATATTCCTTCTCTTGGTCTACACATGGTCTCAGGTTTCTGTACCCACTTGGAAGTTTTTCTAACCTAACTCTTTCAAAACTGAATTCAAGAACAAATTTAAGAATTATGAAAAGCCTTCCCCAACCCTCAGTGTGCTTTAATATTCCACTTCTGTGTATCCTTATAATATGTTCTTCTTCTATGATACTTGAGAAAAGGAACTGTTTCTTATCTCTGTAACCCTAGCACCTAACTCAGTGCCTCACACAAGGCAGGAGCTCAATATGCCTACTGAATGGATGAAACCAGTCAACCTACAAAATGCATCAAGTTCTTTGACTTTTGATACCAGAGCAGGCTTCACAGGGGCAAACAAAGTTTAATTTGCTTATTATCACTGATCTATACCTAGATAATATTTTTAAACCATTTATTTCAGCTTCTATTCAATAAAAGTTTGTTAAATTGAAATCTTCAATCTTTAAAAGGCAAATAAATAGCTCATTTCAAATACAACTAGTCCTACAGGTAATAAACACTTTAATTAATATGTGTTATAAAGGCTTGCATCACTCAAGAAGCTAAAAAGGAATCTGGGTTAACTTGACCTAGCAAATACCTGTTTGCCTGCATGCTAGGGCACCACCTATCAATAATAGGTAAACAAATCTAGCTGCCACCACCCAATGGCCCCCAAATCAACTGCAGTCACATCAGCATTAGTGTGAGTGTGGGGTAATGTAACTGTTGACTCCCATCCTCGTAGAAATAAATGCAAAAGACAGAAGGGAGAAGCCCATTACTATTATAGAAAAGCCAGAACTACAGACCAAGGTCTCTGAGAATGTAGGAAGAGTCTAGGACCCTGTAACTTCTCTGCCTTTGCTATCTCCTGTTTGCCTATACTGGTAAGCTACCATCCATCCACTCATTCAACATCTATTTTCAAAGCATAACTATGTCCCAAGCACTGTGCTAGGCACAGGGTCTACATAACTCTCCTCGTCTCTTACATAAATCTCTCCAGTGGGAAGCCAGGCATTAAACAAATCAATGGACAAATACAAGCATAATTACAAATTGTATTAGATGACAAGAAGGAATATGAAACAGAACTACAAGGAAGACATACTTTAGGTTGTCTTTTTTAAAGATTTTATTTATTTATTTGAGATAGAGAGAGCCAAGAAAGAGAGGGAGAGGGAGAAGCAGGCTCCCCACTGAGCAGGGAGCCTGACGCAGGACTCGATCCCAGGAACTTGGTACCATGTCCTGGGATCATGACCTGAGCCGAAGGCAGATGCTTAACCGACTGAGCCACTCAGGTGACCCTAGGTTGTCTTTATTCAGAAGTGACAATTAAGCCAAGACATGAGAATAAGTCGGTCAAGTGATGAACAGACAGTAACAGCAGATCTGTGTTTTAGGAAGATAGTTCTGACAGCAGCATGGAAGGCAGATTAGAGAGGAGGTCAGTTACAAGACTAATGCAACAGTGTAGGTACAAGATAAGAGTCCAAATTAAACTACTAAACATGGAGATGGCAAGAGCCAAATGTAAAAAACATTCAAAGGCAGGATGGACAGGCATTGATCACTGATTAGACGAAGAGTGTAAGAGAGAAAAAAAGAAGTCAAGGTATTTCCTAGGATTCTAATTAGTCTAGGCAACTGGGAGGGCAGGAGTATGAATAACTGAGACAGGGAACACATAAAGAAGGAACAAGTTTAAAGTGAAGATAATATGTTTAGTTTACTGAGTTTTTGTCGCCTTTAAGATCCTAGAGAAACATCCATCCAGAGATGTATGACATGCAACTTGGAAAACAAATGATCTTATAATCAGGAGAATAGCCAGGCTAGAAAATAGGTCTGGGGTCATCTTCACTGAAGTGATAACTGATACTTTGGAAGTGAAGGATCACTGAGACAGTATAAAAAAAAAAGAAAAAAAGACTAAGGAAACTTCGATCCATATTTAAAGGCCTAGTAACAGTGGCAAGAGAGAAAGAATCAGAGTTCACAGGAGCATCCGTTCAGTAAATATTTATCAACATCCACCATGTTCCAGGTGCTATGATAGATGCTGGGGGCATAAAGAAAAGATAGAAGCCCTACCCTGAAGATGCTTATAGCCGAAGGAAGAGGCACAAATAGGTCACTTCAATATAGTTATTGATGGGGCACTATAGAAACATACAAGGGGGAAACCTAGCCAAACCTAGGAAGTCAGGAAATACTCACTGAAGGACATAGTGTCTGATCTAAAGCTTCAAGATTTGGTAAAATCATGCAAAGAGAGTTGGTAAGGGCAAACCGATGAAATCAAGAGACTGTTCTAGACTTTTGGAATGCTAAGCAAGATAATGGATATAGAAAAGAACTGGAAGAAGCTGAGAGGCTAAAGTGATTTAAACTGGAAAACATTATTCTTGGAAGAAAGTAAGATGGGAAAGTGAACAAGGGATTTTTGGTAAAAACTTTACAAAAGGTTTGGGGGGAAATGTTACAGAAGAGACTGGAGGAAGCTGCCAGGTTATATGAGGATGTGGGAAGAGAGATGGGTAAAGTAACTTGTATGAAGTTTACTAAACTTTATGTAATTGTACCTTTTTATCTCCTTTAAAAATTTCTGTAAAATAGGAAATACATGCATTATTTTCCAAAGAATCTTGGGCCCAATTTTTTTTGGATGCAATACCATGCTGAGACTAGCCCAAGGTGACCCAGTTATAAGTGACCATAAAAGTCTGGGAAAAGTAAATTTGTAAGCACTATTGGCCATGAAGAGGTCAAGAAGCCACAAGACTTAGCATTTATGTGGCCATTGATGCCCTTCAAGTGAACTTTTAATAGAAATGTAGGGGTAGAAAAAAATTGCCAATGGTTCACAAGTGAAGGGTATAGGAATGACACCAAATTGTTCGTTCATTCAACAAGTGTTTATTGAATGCCTACTATGTAGCAGGAAACATCCTAGGCCCTGAGCAATCAATGGTGATCAAGACACAGATCTAAGAGCTTTACAGTCTAAAGGAGAAAGAAGACAAGGAAATAGACAGTTACAGTGAAATTAGTGCTAAAACAGAGCAGTAAGAAAGCACATGGAAGCTTGACAGTGAAAGGAAGGAGGAACAGATGGCAGTAACTAGATAGACGATAGTATGGAGGCAAAATTTACTTTCTGGCTGAAAGGAATTTGAGCATGTTTGTGAGCTGAGGGGGAGAAGCTTGTGGAAAGGAAGAAGATGGGGAGGGGGAAACAGAGGAGGGTTGTTGGAGGAAGGTCTTGGGGAAAAAGATCGGTGAGGGTGTAAGTGTTGGACTTGGAAAAGAAGAACAGTTCTTTCTGTAAAGAACCAAAGCAGGAAGAGAAGACAAAAAATAATTGTGATGCAGAAGGGGAACATAAAGAAATGTCCTCTACCTTTTGCCATGATACAGGCTACGGCGCTTATTAAGGAACCAAAAACACAGTTGGGGGTTTTAAGGATGGTGCAAAAGTTCTGAAGTAGGCAATGTGAGAATCAGACAAATGAACTAATTAATCAATTCCAATTCCTACGATTACACAAATGACAGAAGAAGCAATCAACAATTAGTTGCTGGCTTTTTGTTTGGATCTGGGAGTTGGAACAGGAAGTGAAATGTGAGCTGCACTTCAAAGAATTCGATAGGTATGAATTAAACTAAAGTAAACCTTTAAAGGAATTATCCAAAAAAATCAATAAATGTACACCCATACAGTGTGCAATTGATTATAGATTACTTACAGTGTATACAGCCAATACAGCACTCCCATGAGTTTGAATCTGTCACCATTCCTGAGCAGCAATGACAGAAGCTAAGAGGCTCACACACAGAAGGCCGACAACAGAAGCCAACAGAAACAAAGAAGAACTCACAGGTAGAGAAATTATATAGATCAGAAGATGAGGTAATGGTTAAGAAAAATCTAAAAGCTGAGATATAGTGTGGACTAATGATAAGCCTGAAGATAACTGATGTAATGTTCCTGCCTCCCCGTTTTCCTTCCCTCAACATTCTCTTAGCACCTGCTTTATGCCAGGTACACTGTGAGGCACAAAGAGAAGATACGATTCTTGCTTATAAAATCAAGAGTATGTTCATGTACCCACAGCCAATGTTTACAACAAAAGAATAAAACCGAAAGCTGCTTTGAGTTTTGCTACTCAAACTATACATGCTTCTGTAAGACATTAACCACAAAGCAAAATTATATGAAAAGTTCAACAAATTCTTCAACAATCAGCAAAAGGTGCTATCAGAAATGGCAGATTAAAGACCCATGAAATAGTATGTTCTAACTTAATAAACTGCTGTGTATCTTGGCTTTATCACAGATGTTACATCTGACTTTTCATTAAACGGTTGGATTAATGCCAACAAAAAGGCAACGAACTGCAAATGACAAAGCAAGATAACCAGAAACTAAGTGCTAGAAAGTATTTCAGCAGCAAATTGATAACAATTTTAGTGATTACTACAACAGTAATAATGCATATTTATTGAGCTCTTACTTGAGCGAGGCATTGTGCTAACTATATTATATACAATATATCACTAAATTTGTATAACTTCCCACAAAAAAACTACCTATAAGGTAGTCTCTAATATTATCATTTTACAGACAAGAAAGCTGAAATTTAGAAAGATTAAGTAACTAGTGAATTAAGGAGCCAGACTTGAACTCAGGTTTGCATGATTCTTAAAAATCCATGCTTTAATCACTGTATGATTCTGTTTCCCCAAAGAATGGAATAGTGCCAGGCACATGATGGACACTCAGTAGTATGTGTCATTGAAGGACTGAACGAAAGGATATAAAGCAGCTATTGCAAAGTGAACCCAAATATGGAAAATACAAGTGGAAAAGCAGAAGCAATACATTAAGGATTCACTAAATCACCAACTCAAACTGTGCAGCATAACTGGAGGTGGAGGTGTCTGGAAAGCGGCCGCAACTGACAGAATGGCCTAATGTGCTGTTACAGGAGATGTAATGGTTCTTTCTGAGTGAAAACTTCAGGCTATATCAATCTGCAAAGCCAAAGATGAAAACACCACCAGTCAGTTCAGAAAAGGAACTGCAGATGCTGATCAGAAAACTCTTTCCCACATTTTCCCAGTATGGAAAGGACTGGTGCTGTATGACATACAAGTTAAACCCCCAGGTTACCTTTAATTCTATCACCTTTTTGGGGTTTGGGGTGGGTTTTTTTTTTTTCCCCCCCAGAGCAAAATAGATTCACACCATGAATCTGGTACCTACCAACTCTTTTTTTTCTTAATTGTAGTATAATTAACATACAGTGTTCTATGTAGTTTCAGATGTACAATATGACTCAATTCTATATATTATGCAGCACTCATCACAGTAAGTGTACTCTTAATCCCCTTTATCTAATTATATCACCATTAAAATGGAAGAAAATCATGTGTACTAGAAAGATGATTACATTCTAGGACTATCCAGATCCCTCTCTTTTTTTTTTTTTTTAAAGATTTTATTTATTTATTTGAGAGAATGAGATAGAGCATGAGAGGGGGGAGGGTCAGAGGGAGAAGCAGACTCCCTGCTGAGCAGGGAGCCCGATGCGGGACTCAATCCCGGGACTCCAGGATCATGACCTGAGCCGAAGGCAGTCACTTAACCAACTGAGCCACCCAGGCGCCCTAGGATCCAGATCCCTCTTCTAAAAGATTCCCACCAAGATGCCTTTTATTGAGTCCATGGGCATGTTTTATGTCACTGACTTCCACCAAGATCACCAATGACAGGAGTAACGGACAGCACATATCCCAAGAGCAGCCAATCTATGAAGAGCAACTTATGGCCAACAACCTATAGGGGCCCGGCATGGGAGATCTGCCCAAGAAGAAATGTATCTAACTCAACCAATCAGATTTTCTCTTACAGGAGTCTGAACTCAGGCTATACAGAGGGAAAGTTAGCTGAAGAACAGAGAAGGCAGGCAGCAGAAGTAATGAGGCAATTATACCCATATAGAGAAGATACAGAATGAGGTGATTATTTTAAAAATAAAAAGTAAAAGCAGAATCTGCAAAGGGCCAATAGCAGCACAGAAGTAATACTTCTGCTGCTAAGAGGGCCACACCCAGTCACTAGAGTTGCATTCATTTTTTTTCCAGTTTCTATTAAGACCTAGTTGAAATCTATATGGTGAAGCCAGTTTGTACATAAGGTCTGGCCACTTCAATCTCCCTTATTTCCCCACATAAAGCTATCTAATAAACTTCTCATTACTAGCTACAGACCAAGTAAAACTCTGTCTTGCCTGCAACCAAAAAAAAAAAAAGTGTTGTACAATATTTTTACATATGAGTGCACATGCACTCACACACCTGCAGTTAGATGACAAGGCAAACTCGGTGGTGGGTAGTAATTCAAGCATTGTGGGTCTTATTTCCATCTTGTAGCATCTGTGATTTGAAGACACGGTTACTTAGCTCTAGTTAACTGTCTTAGAAAAAAGGGCCTTCAAAGAAACATCTTCAACCCTAAAATTTAACAATTCCTATCATTACAATTGTGCACTTAGAGATTAAGAAGCGATCCAGGGAAGTTACAGAAAACAAAACCATCTCTTCCTCTTGTGTGTGCAATGTTCTGTTTGTGTCCGAATTTTATGGCAAATAAGTGATTTTGTTCTCTCATATCACAAGAAACAACAGTTGGTTAGTCAAGATGGCCAAGCAAAGAAAGGACAAATTGGAAAAACATGAGAATGTTTTGAAAAAAGTTTAACTTGAGGACATACTGAAAATTACTCATAAATTTCACTATGTGTGTTCTTGCCTATCTTTAATGATAATCCCATTAGCGTATCTTATCACCTTGAAGCCTGTTCACTCAAAGGAAAGGAGAATGAAGCTCAGAAAGTCTCAACCATCTACAAATGCCCAACACATTTAATTCCAAGGAATTCTAAAAATACCTAATGATCAAAAGGCTTGAAAGTGACAAAGCCACTCTCCTAGAGAAACATACAAAACGCCCCTAACAACTTATATGTCAAAAACTCAAGAAAACTACATAAAAATCATTTCCCTAAAAGTATAATTTTTTTCATATAATCCAATCACTTGTGCACACAGTATTTTCCTAGTCTTCACTATTTTTTTCTTAGAAGAAAAGTATTCCTGGCTTTTCCTTTCTATCCAAAATAAGTGCTACCAGTCACAACTAACAGGTATTTTGGGGTTCAGGTCTACCAAAGCAGCAATCTATGCAAGAGTCTCAGCTACTTTAAAAAATACTTTTGCACAGCTTAGAAAGAAAGTCTGACTAAAAGCCACAGTTCCATTTCTCAGAGCTAATTTATTTTCAGGATAATCCCACAGATAGAAGAGATTAAAAACCAATATTCAAAACCTGAGTTGTAAAAACAGTTCCATGCACTTGGGGTTCATTTTGGTGTAATAACTTTTCCTCTGGACATAACATCATTACACACTCTTGTATTGAAAATGTTATGAGATTATATAAAGCAGGGACACCCAGACAGGTTGCAAGTTATTACTGCTCAAGCATTCAGGGTGAGGGTTGTTTTGGTTTATTTTGGTTTGGCTGTTTTTTCAAGCACATCATTCTATTCCTTAAACATTATAGTGTTTCGTGAGACAGGAATATGCTCCAGATACCCGGCGCAAGTATTTGAGTATCAAAATCACTAAAAAGCCACACAACACGGGTGTTGGAAGCCCAGCACTTGATCTGAAGTTCAGAATAGGAAGGTTCATCCAAACCTAGGGACAAAGGTTTTCTGATGTTGCAAATTATACAAGTCCCTAAATACTAAAATTTTTATTACCTAATTGTTAAAAAAGCAAAATCAAGAACAGTCAGGTGTGTGGGTAAAACCTCTCAGCAGAGAAGCTAACAGTACTTGGGCCTCAGCTGAAATCCGGAATACTGCCACTAATGACTACCAGTGGCAAGACTCTTGAAAAAGCACCACTTCTTATCTCTTCATGACACATTTACCAACGAAATTCCTGACCTGGCCCAAATCGTGCTTCCCCTAAGAATCCACTAGTTCCGTAACTGAAGCTTTCTTTGAACTAGTACTGCACATACACTTTTGTTTTATAGAAACATTTCAGCTATGTTACTCAGTTTATATTTGTTCCATGTCAATATTCTGCACATGACCAAAAATAAAATATTCGTGTGATAGGGAAGATACTAAGGAGAATTTTAAGACAGAGGGGTTGTTCTGGGAAGTAACCATAAAAATAAAGCCTAACTCAAAATGAATGTGCTTACAACTACCTAATACCTTTTTCAAGATAAATGAAAAGTGTGAGTAAGAATGGTAAACTAGTAGTACCTGATCAGGAGAAAATTGACAGCAAATAATAAAACAGTTAAGTGTCTTCATTACCCCAATTAAATACACAGCAGCAGTTAAAATCTGATGTGTAACAATAAAGTTCTCTCTTCTAATGCGCCCCTTCAATCTAAACTTTAAGTGGTAATAAAAAAAATTACACATTTTAAAATGCCATGAAAATCACTTACAGTAACCATATCTAACATTTATTGTAACATGCCGAACACTACTCTAAATATTTTACATGTACTTTTCATTTTATCCTCAGAACCCTATGAGGTAAATATTATCCCCTTTCATAGGTGAGGTAACTAGGGCACAGAATGTTTAAGTAACTTGTAGTCACACAGGAAATAATGTGTGGGTCAAAAATTTCACCAACTAATCTAGCTCCAGATCATTACACCAAGCTGCCAATAAGGTAATAGAGCAAATGTGCTTTGCAAATGGTAAAATGTGCAAAAAAAAAAAAAAAAGTAATGCCCACTGATTAAGAGCACATGCTTTGTAGTCAGATCTAGTGTCAAGTCTCAATTCTGTAATTTACTAGCTAAGTGATCTTAAGTAAATCACTGAACTTCTCTAAGCTTCAACTTCCTATTCTATAAAACAGAGATAATGAAGTAACAGTTCTTACTGGCAGATTTTACTGGTGGATCTTCTTGGTAGATGAGGGGCATTATGCATGGAAAGGATTAGCAGAGAGCTTGGCATACAGTAAGCACTCCATGAATGTTCATTATTACTATCTAATACTAAGAGTTCTGTTTATTATGACAAACTCTCATTTTGGTACTGATAGCATTTTCTAAAGTAAGTAAAATCAACATGGAGGTAATAAAAGTTTATGAAATTAAGACCCAAAGTCTCAAAATATATGACAGCACAATTTTAAGATGGAAAAGGCTATCACTTACTTTAATATCATTATCAAGTTTTTATTTGAAGTGCCTGGGTATACATGAAAATGTGCTAGGCACTAAACAAAATTATCAAGACACAGTCCCTGACTTCAAATATACACAATCAAGCAAATTAACTCTGCTGAGTGGACACAAACAGCAAAACCTCCAACTTTGGGCATTTTCCCAACCAGACACAACTATGGTCGTCATTATGTTCCCCTCTGCTTGTGGTGTGGTAGTAGTGAATACATGCAGAAGCAGCAGTTCAAAAATAAATAATAAACCCACAAACAGAATTTAAGAGTGATAAAGATTCAGGAAGAAATGAGCTGACTTTCTACCCTCTTACCTTCTCAAAAAACATTTTGGCTATCTTGGTACTAATGATCTCTGTTAATTAACCAGAAGAGAAAAAAGGAAAGAGCCAGAAATTCAAAAGAGAACTCAGGGTAAAATGGTACAGAAAAATTCTAAGAGAGAGGAGGAATGAAGTTCAAAGTTAGAAAAGCCAAAATAACTGCAGGTGAGCAGCATTCTATCATGCGCCTAATGTCTTAGAAACCAAACAAGTAATAGCCATTCTTAAGATTGCTGATCTGGGCGCCTGGGTGGCTCAGATGGTTAAGCGTCTGCCTTCGGCTCAGGTCATGATCCCAGGGTCCTGGGATCGAGTCCCGCATCGGGCTCTCTGCTCCTTGGGAGCCTGCTTCTCCCTCTGCCTCTCTCTCTGTCTCTCATGAATAAATAAATAAAAATCTTAGAAAAAAAAAAGGATCACTGATCCTTACTCCTTTCCAATCCTGAGGTTTCTGTTAGCTTTTTAAAGTCAGAGAAGGTAGGCAGGGAGTCTGCTTCTCTCTCTGACCTTCCCCCTCCCTCTCATGCTCTCTCTCTCTCATTCTCTCTCTCAAATAAATAAATAAAATCTTTAAAAAAAAAAAAAAAAAAAGGGGCGCCTGGGTGGCTCAGTTGGTTAAAGTCAGAGAAGGAAAAAATAGCACAGGGTACAGAAGGATTTTGTCCAACAGAAGAGCCAACATCATACTGCCCATATCTTGGAGCTCGGCTTCTGACTGACTATGAGAGCCACAGCTAAATCAGAATCCTGGTAATCTTCAGATTCCATTAAAAAGGTAGCTTCTAAAACTCCTAAGGATGTAGAATATTTCCAGGAAACCTGGAAATCTAATTTCTAAAGTTTAAGAAGCATTTTTCAGTGGTCATGTTATTTGAAAAGATCTTTTGCAACTTCACAACAGGAAATGATACCCACTCATGCCTCTCTCTACCTCCACACCTTCTTGCCATAACACCTTTTGAGAAACTCCTCTGTCCATACCCACAGTCTAAAACCATAGCAAAACCACAAAACTCCCTGCTACTGCATCCATAGGCTCTTTAAAGCAAACTGAGTAGAACAGCCTATAGATCATAAAGCAGTATTACATATTCCTAAAAAAAAGGGGGGGGGGGGACTTTTCAATAATACCAGCAATCTGTGTCGACCAAAAACTTAGCTATCTACAAAAGTAGGCCAAAAATTAAGGATGGGTAATTTATATATTCTGCAAGAATATATATATTCTTCAAGAAGAAACTTTTCTTCCTGAAGTAGGGAGGAAAGAGGGGAAAAAAGAGAGACATGAACAAAACAACAGCAAAAAAGGTTATTATGCATTGAAGGTATATCTCTAAGTTATACTGAACACTTGCCCAGTGTCAGCCATGCAGCTCTCCCTTGCACTATCCAAACTTATGAAGTTGAAATGCAAGCCATACTTTTTATTGTTTCTCCTCTTCCACTGCACTTAGGTGTGGAAGGTATCTCAGGAAACAAGATGAGTTGTATTCTATAGGAAAACTTAATTGATCAAATAACAAAGGTAGATATAATTTGTAGCTCGAAATAGGTTTTAATATAAAACCTTAAGAGCCTCAGGCCTAAGCCCTCTGAGAAGACAGAGCTCATGAAGTCAAAATAAAACCAAAAAGTAAGGATGAAGACCAGAAAGAAATAGGAAGAACAAAGAATTTCTAGTAACTTCTTACTTGTTCATCCTACCTTTCTAAACTTGTCCTGGTTTAGCCTCTAACTCGTCTGCCATAATCCATTAATTTGTCTACTATGATAACATATTCCTACTCTCTCCAGGCAATTCTAAATTAGACAGACACATCCTGACATAGTGCTATTTTTTCCTCTATGACCCAGATGAAACCTTTTGACAGTCCTTGGAATCCTCAATACTGCCTTCTAAATTCCCACTCTATGGCCCTGGAGTTATGACAGAGGAGACAAACTGTGAATGGTACTGTGGAAATACGTGAGCTGCAGTAAAGGAACTCTAGCAATTGGGCTCCCCTCCACCCACATCAGGCTATTTTTCTTTTTTTCCCTACAGTATTTAAAAAGTAAAGTAGAGAGCAAGAGGCTGACATGCAGATGAGAGGCTACAGCAAAGAGCCACCCCAGCTTTTTAGGAATACTCGTATCTTTTCACTGGTTGTAGGCACTTAAGTCTGGAAAATATCTTTGGAATATGTCTTGTGTGTAAGAATGCATAAAAGATAACACCTTGCAAAAGTCAAACATACAGATTTAATAATGTGCAACTAATGAAGATGGTTTATAAATGAAATACCACCTACACATTTAGTTCCCTAAATATATTATGCTATTAATCATTAAAGTTAGATCTATAAGTACAAGTTTTCCATATGTGGAAAAGTAAATCTGTTTTTAAATTAAAGAGAAATTATCACTCTAATTCTTAAAAATAAAACTATCAGGGTAAAATTCAAGTGTAGCTGCTCATAGTCACTGAATAAACTTAAATTTGATAAAACATTTACGTTTCAACCAATGCACCTTTGTTGAAGCACATTTAGCTGAAATAACTTTGAGTCTGGTTTATTTCCATCACATATAGTACATTTTTCCAACAAGAGCATGTACATTCAATATAGAACATTTCCAGCAACAGTTACAGTCTTTCTACTTTCCTTTCACAGTATATTTTAGTGCAAAGCACTGGGAAGGGTAAATGTTTTTCTAGCTATAGAAGCATTTTATTATGACCTTGTGGATCTTCAACATTTTAAAATTTTATACAAAAAGTATATAGATGGACAGGGTCCCTCCTAAGTACAGGTGTGAACCTATATAAAAACATGGTATATTCTCTGCTGTACCTTTTAAAATTATAATTTGACAAAAATTACTAAAAAATAAAATATTCCCTAAAAAGTACAAAATATTGATACACAAAAACCTGCCCAATATTTCATAAAGATAGATGTACTTCTGTTTTTCCTAAAATCTTGATTACAAAAATGGACAAGAATTCATTATTTTCCAAATTTTACAGTAGGAATCAAATATCATCTAAAGTAGTCAAAGATTTTACTTGGGAGACAAAATTCAGGGTTTCACTCCCATTTTCCTTTTTTAGCAATATTTAAAGAAACAAACTAATATCATAAGAAGTCGTTGTGCATGGATTGTCTGCATCCATAAAATATCAGTAAGCTATTTACTACCTTCATATTAACATTAGTAAACGTGTAGTCTTAAAAAAAAAAAGAAACTGAAAAATTAAGTTGCATCTATTATTAAAGTGCTTTGTATAAAATTTAAAGAAAAAAAGGGGAATGCTTAATTTTCATAAAAACCTCAGATGTTTACAAATAAAAAGGGTAATGATCCATGGATGAAAATGAACTGGAACTTTCCTGTAGTATATATTTTAGAATGAAACTTTCAAACATTTAAGTGCTGGAGAACAAGTGAGAAATAAATGAATGTAAGAATAATTACAAATATTTAGTAGGCTAAATATTTATAATATGTTGATACTAATTTCTCTTTTGGTCCTAACATACACTCACTAGGAAATATATCTGTACAATCCAGATGAAAATTTTGCCAAATAAAGTGAAACAAAACTAAAATCACTAAGATATAGTCTTTTTGTCAATTAAAAATCACCAGTGGTGATATATATTCTTCAGGTTGTTGATCGCTTTAATCAACAAATTGTTTGGAAAACAAACTTTGCAACGTTTTTGTAGAAACTGTAGACCAAATGCACAAGGTCAAGGGTGGTTAGCTGATGGACTGTGATGACAATAGGTAATGTCACAGCTACTTGAAAGTGCTGGGAGAGGCAGTGCCTTAGAAACAAGTGGTTAGATGGTTATTATTTTAGTCAGAAAACAGCAGTTACAGTCGAATATTTATGAAATTGTTTTTCCTTTTTTTTCTCATAGTACCATTTGAAGACGTTTAGTGGTTCTAACACCAATTTAAAGTCTTTCCACAAAAATGAACTCCAAACCTTTTCGTACATCACTTGAAGTTATCTGAGGAGAAATGGGAATAAATGAACACTTTTGAGTTTACCAATAAAACCTTGTTTTTAAAATTACACAATAGTAAATGACTTCTAAAGGATGGTTTCATCTCAAGTTTCCACACAAATAAAAAATGTGGGATACTCAAACCACAACATTTAACCTACTCAGCACTCAAACTAAGTATACTGCTTTAAAACCTGAATCCAAAACTAATTTAATACTAATTAAATATATTAAATGCCTTAATGCAGGGAAACAGGTACTGAAGGTAAACTTTTAAAAATATAGAGACTTGCAAAAACAAGTATAGGAAGTCTATCCTTATTTTATATTGCATTTTAAAAATCTACATTCCAAAACCTTCTAAAAAAGTAAAATTTTTTTCTTTCTTCCCAATAGGGATTTTCCTTTTCTTACAACGCACAACCACAAAAAACCAAAACAAAACAAAAACAAAAAAAAAGCCCTACTTAATAATATTAACTATGTTGAAATGATCACAAAAAGTCTATTTAAAACAAAATGGAAAAGTAAGATTTGAAACCTATATATTCACTTTTTCCACAGATCAAAACTAAAAACAGTAACTAACGCATACTCCCAAGGAGAAGGAAAAAAAAAAATCCAAACTTTTGTCTATAAAGTTTCCCCTTTGACTGGAAGCACTATGTTAAATGTAAATAATAAATGCTAATTGTTCTAAATTCAATTTGGGGATTTTTTTTTCTGAGTGCAGCACTTTATTTAGCCATCACAGATTAATTTTTACAATAATTACAGTGCCTCAAAAGACTTTTTTCCTCTAATTATAGCCTTCACAAATTCATTCTAATATATTCCACTTTTTCTACAATGTATTAATTAGTAGACTAGGTCACTAAACCGAATTAAACCTGTGCAAAGTTAGTTAAACAGAAGACTTCTACTGTAAACATAAGCCAATATAAATGTATATATTTTACAACACTGGGAGGAAAGCACTGACCCTGTGCCATCTACCTACAACTATATTGCATTGTCCTGTGGAAAGATAAGTTCTGAAGTTAACTTTTGTTCCCAAGCCACTGGAATAAAGGTCACTGAAGAGGTAAATGCAATATGCACATTACTCTTGCAGTTCCCATTGCCATAAGATATATGGAAGCAAACGTGTTAAAAATGGAACCAGCTATAAATTATGGTCAAATGATTTTTTTAGTTCGATGGGGGGAAAAAAGCAAAACTCTGTAACTGTTCCTCACCAGACAAGAGCCTTAGATCTTGTACTTCGGCCTTTGGTTTTGTTTCCTTCAGGTGAATTGGAAGCATTTGCCTTATGAGTTTTCTTATGATGTTCAAGATAAGTCTTTTTGGCAAATGCCTTTCCACATTTATTGCATCTGTGAAGAGAAAAGTTTTTTGTGACTTTTACTTCAATACCAACGTCAGCTACTTCATACTTTTTACTAGGAGAGTTAGAAGTGCCATCATGTTTTGAATCACTATGTTTTGCCTCATCCCTCGAAGGGCCTCTTTTTGCCACTTTATTTAGAACAAAATCAATGGGCTTCTTTATAGCTCTGATCTCTAAACTGGCTGTTATTTTCCCAAGATAGCGGGATGACTTTTTATGAACCACAGTTATATGTCGTATCACATCACGCTTCCGACGAGTTTCATAAGTGCAAAGAGGACACTTGTAGAATTTAACATAAATGTTATTCCCATCTGTGTGCAACTCAATGTGTTTAGTCAAGTTCTGTTTGGAAGTAAACTGACGTTTACAAAGTTTACAGTAAAGTTGCTTAAAGTCAAAGCCAGCTGAAAGTTTTGGTTTCCTGGTTTTTTGCTGGCCACCTGCAGCAGAAGGACTAGTTGATTTAGGGCTTTCAGAGTCTTGTTTAACTTTATTTTTCTGTGCTGCCGGTGTGTTCTTTTTTTCATTTGAATGATTTGTTCCCTTTAATTCATTCTGTGGAGAATGGGTAATGGAAGGGGGTGAAGATTCTACAGAATCTGCTGGTTCAACTTTAACTTTTATTTCTGAACTGCTGGCAGTATTATTAGGGCCTTTCTCTCTTTTAGAGTTTGTTCCAGAAAGAGTTATCTTGTGGACAATTTGCATATGTCTTTTAAGCATTATTTGTGAACTATATTTCCTCTTGCAAAGAAGGCATTTGCATGCAGTTAAATTGTATTCAGCCTTTGAAGACGACTTTTGTTTTCGAGTCTTAAAAGATTTTTTAGGAGAAACAGAATCCAGGAACAAAGGTTGCCCAGGCTTTGTTGCTATATCAGGAGTAATTGAATCCCTCCTTAGTCCTCTATGAACTTCATCAAAATGCCTCCTTACATTCGCTTTTGTAGCAAATGATTTACAACATACTGGACAACTCCTACTTATTGGAACTAGAACATTCTTACTGCGTCCTTTAGAGGACTGGTTTGGATTCTTTCGCGTTTCAATGTACTTTTTTAGTTCTTCCATCTTTTTCTTGTGTACTTTTCGAATGTGACGACGAACACCTCGTCTGGAATTGAATTCTTTTCTACAAAGACAACATATCAACTGGTGACCAAAATCAGAATTGTCAGAAGTTTCCAAGTCAGGCTGTGATTCCTGAGGTTGCTCATCAGATGTAGGTGCAACTTCATCTGCAACAATCTCAACAGGAGGGGGCTCTACAGTTTCCACCTCTGTATCTGTAACTGGTACTGTTTTAGACTGTTCAGTGCTGGTTTCCTGTATTTGAACTTCGGTCTGTTCAGGAGTACTGCTTGACTCTGTGACTTCAGTAGGATTATCAGTCCTTGAAATATACTGAAACACTGCATTTTGATTAGTTTCTATGGGTTCTAGCTTAATAATATATTCTCGCTTGTCCACACTTGGATATATGGCTTCTAGGAGATCGTTTATGGCTTGGCTTTGTTTATCATTTACATCAGGAAGGTCTGTTAAGGAAAAAACAACATTTTAATCTGAAATAATGTGCCTGCTCTAGCTCTCTAAAATTTAAAAATGTATTATGAACCTCTACTTTAAAATTTATTACTGGTTTATATTTATTTTTAGAAGAGCATTATCTACTTTTCCGTATTTTAAAACTAGAATTAATTAAACTAAAATTAATTTAAAATCTCATCAATGTACGCAAATGTTAAGGAATAAATGCAATCTGAAGAGCTACTTCCACTCCTAAGTGCCCTTAATACCAAATATATAAGCACATGAGTGTCCTAAACAATTAAAAACAATATTTCAAATTTTTAGTCTAAAATTTTCAGCCTAGCAAAGGCATATCAAAGTTCTCATAACTGAAGATGGATAAAACATCATGAAGAATGTACTATTATATATAAAAAGGATTCTTTTTTTAGAAAATATAACAGCATTCGTATTAACTTAATCCATAATAACCTAATCTACTTGTAGAGAGGGACACTTAAAGATCTTATGGAAATGAAAAAGATCTGTAGGATATAAATATGAATGACATGTAGACAAGTGTTTGCTATTACAGGGCTTCTCAACATGATACCATCCCATTCAAACAAGTGATTAAAAACTATAGATTTATTCCAAAAACAGAGCTAGTTTTATTTACTTGTGCAATAATTCATCCCCTATAGGCAACCAAATATTCCTACTATACCAGATTTACCTAACACTAGTTATGCTTCCACATACAATTCTAAAATCTAGCTACAAACACAACATCAAATCTGATATTTAGAAAACAAGATTAATGATTCATTATTGCTCTTCTAGTAATCTTCCCATGTAAAAGGGATAAAGTAGTGTTTATAAGGATAACACTTTCACAGAAGTATTTCTAGAATGAGTATTGCCAAGAAAGGTATACAATAATCCAACAAATCCATTTATTTATATTTCTAAAAGTCAACTCTACACTAAAAACAAGAATAACTACCAGAAATATAACGAGTTTTCTACTAGTACTTTATTAAAAGATCAGATTTGAAACTAATCCCTACAGACTGCCTTTTCATTTATATCTCAATGATAAAAACAAGTATAATAAGATCTAACAGTACCAGGAAAGATTTCCAAAAATGAAATTTTTATTTCAACTATGTCCTATAGTATACTTTAAATCAGCTTCATGCTAGTAATTAAGTAGTACTTTTGATATTTGGAGTTTTCATTTCATTTCCATCCCAAAAAAGTTAAGTTGAAAAGTGCACAAACTCCACAATGCAACTATAGTATCAAACTGACAAAATAAGTTCTGTAATTTTTAAGTCCACAAAGAGTTAAACCCCTGAACAAGAAATAATGAAAGTAACCTATTACTTATTAAAATATTTTAAGGAATTTATATCAGTTCTTTAAAGCAAGAAAGTAATACCATTACATATACTGCTAACTTAATCATACAGAGGCAACATACTTAAGCCAACATACGGTTCCACGAAGACTTTATTAGCCTACAACCTGCCTTCATCACATAAAGCTACTTCAGATCTCAAGCCGGCCTATAACACAGTCTCATTTCTGATAAAATGATTGAGTTATAAATAAATTTCACTGCGAACAAAACTGATCTTCAAATCAAGACCCAGAAAAAAATAGAAAGGTTAATATTTTTTAATGCTCTTCACCATCCCCAAGAAATCAACTCATTTACTCATTCTTTGCTCTAACCTTCTCACTTAAGGATAATCTTAGTAAATTATCAGTCATATGTAACAAGTTGTTAAAAGAAGTAAAAATGAAAAATACCAATACCCCCTTTAAAGCACTCATATTTTAACTTAGACAAATCCTGAATATAAACTATATGGTCCATATAAACATTCAAAAACAATATCCAATATCTTAATATAAATAAATATACTCATAAATCGAACCTCATATATCTTTAGAAAAACCCAAGTAAAAAATATGAAAGTACCTAAGAAAATGAACATTAAGTCTAATATTTAATTTTATTCCCCATCATTAAATTATTGATACCATTTTAACACAAACGTCCAGCTGCAGTATAAGAATACTTAACTATAAAATGTATAACTGAACATATGAATAAAACTTACTGTCATCCATCTGGAGACTTGGTGGGCAGTAGAATTTTTTATGGGTAATTAAATTTGGTAATCCTCTGAAGAGACTGCGGCATAATTTACATTCAAAAATAGTGTCCACGTCTTTTAATAAAATGTGCTTAAGTTGTTTAGTTCCTAAAGGAAAAAAGAAAATAAAACTTAACACAAAAGGTAACTTTAACGTACATTTTTAAACTGGGCAACCACTGTTGACAATCCAAAGTGCAATTACACTTTGCAAACAAAATACAGGCATTGCCAATTTCCACCATTTGTATTCAGAACTAAGTTATAAACTAAATTCTAAGTAAAATTCTATCATCATCTGGATATTATGACAGCTAAAATTGATATTCTTTTTCTAATTCAGCAGCCAATCAATTCTTAGAATATCCCAACAGTGGTTCCAACACCTGGCTGATCATCACAATAAACTGGGAATAAAGATGTACATGACCCACCTCTAGAGATTCTGATTCAATAGATCTGGAAGGGGAAAGAAGAATTAAACATGCCCCTCCCCCCCAACCCCTTACTCCTTGCCAAAGTTTCTGGCTGGTTCCTATAGCTCCCTTCTGCATTAAGACATGAACACGGAGTTCTGTAATATGTTTTCCCCTGATTCCTTAAAAAAAGTCAAAACTGTGTCACAAGATTGCCTGTGACTTTTCTTTAAACTCAGCTCAAATTACTTCAGGTTCTGGGCCAACATGGAATTATGGTCATTGAGTGTCAGAGTAGAGAATCCTTATCCATAATTTGAATTTTGCTTAGGCCTCTTGATACCACTATAAATTTATTCAAAGCCTTTCTCCCTCAAAAACTCACTCCAAGTGCAATTAATTAAATATTGATAGTTTACAGTTTAAACTAATTTAAAGCCTGTCTTCCCCACTAGATTATAAACTCCAAAGCAGCCAAGACCAAACCTGTCTTATTTACAACTACAAAGTATTCAGCTCTAGCAATGCTCAATAAAGATTAGTTGAAGAAATGCCACTGATATAGGGAATCTAAGCATTATGACAGAAGATCAAAAGGCAGGAAAAAAAATAAATGGCATTGAGCATCCAATCTTTAAAATAAAAACATCCACCAGGAATAAAACACAAATAGAAGATCTTTTATCATTATTTCCTACAGGTTTTTGCCACAGATAAATAGACAAAATTGATCTGCCATGCTTTACTAATTAATTAGCCTTTAATTTCCTCAAATAAAAAAGATGCTAATAATATTGACTTCAAGAGGAAAAAACAAATGTGTCCTGAAAAAAACTTTAAAACTATCTATCTTCCATCATGCCACAGGTACTTGACACTCTGTTAAGCTCTGGGACTACTAAAGAGTAAACACACTATACTATCCATCTTGTAAAATGAACAAACCAAACCAAACCTATCTTAAAGAATCATGAAAGAAAATACGAACCTAAATCCCAGAAAAATTAAATTACACATCTGGATTTCTACTGGGAAAAAATATAATGAAATCATCTCCACCATTTCTCAAATCCAAATCAATGGTTTACTGCACTAAACCATATTACCACAAAATCAGAAAACATAAACTTAAAAAGATTCAAAGGACAGCCTGAGTATTATTCTTTATATAAAAGTAAATTCATACACACAAACACACACACACACGCACTTTCTTAGTCCACTTCACGTAACAAAATATACTGGCAACAGACTGCTAACATGTTTAGTTCATAGTTCATCTCCTAAGTGACTGACAAACTATGAGAGGTAGACTGATGACAAAAATATTTTATTTTTTAAAATAAATAAAAATCTTTATTCAACGTCAAAGACAGCTTTAGAAAAATTCAGTATTACTTTACTCGCCATAACCTCCAACTTTTATAACCAACGTGAAAGGGAATAGATTCTGATAAGGTTTTGATCCATAAAGTGAGTATATAGGGAAAATCAATTTTAAGATAGAAAAAAAAAATGCTTAAATGTGAAATATATTAGATAACCTCTCTAACATATCTACATATAATTCCCGAGTATAGTTAAGTGTAGCACCAGTAAGAAGAAAACATAGAAAATTTTGCACACTTTAATTCTAAATTGAAATACCTGCCAGACCCATACTAAAGATTCAATCCTGCCTTTAAAGATAGTCAAAAAAGATTGAAGAGGAATGCAAAAACAAGCTGAACTACATTTAACTTAAGAACTCAACTGAAGATTTATTTTTTTTTTAAAGATTTTATTTATTTATTTGAGAGAGAGAGAATGAGAGACAAAGAGCATGAGAGGGAGGAGGGTCAGAGGGAGAAGCAGACTCCCTGCCGAGCAGGAAGCCCGATGCGGGACTCGATCCCGGGACTCCAGGATCATGACCTGAGCTGAAGGCAGTCGCTAACCAACTGAGCCACCCAGGCGCCCTCAATTGAATATTTAAATAGAAAGTATGAGGTTATACATAAAAAACAGTTACTGCTAAAAATGTAAGACTGCATCCCTAAATCAGAGATCTCACTTTGTCCACCAGGTTCTCTCAACCATAAAAATTAATTAAAAATTTAAAAATCTATACAGAGAGATACTCTTTAGTCCTAGTTATAGAACTAGTTATACTCAGCACAGTGTATATTCGTTTCCAATAGCATCCCCCTAAAAAAATCTCTGGCTCTAACCTTAACTCATCAATCTTATCATTCACAAATGCTTCCCCCACCGCACCCCACCTACACATACACATACACACATACAAGCACAGTTGTGCTGATGCAGGTACATCAAATTTCTTTCAGAGCCACGGGTTCACCAAATTGTTTCTCTCTCTCTCTCTCACTTTCCAGGCCTTCACCTATGTTTTTTTTTTCCTGTCTATAACAATCTCCCACTTCCCTGGTCTGGCTCACTTCTAGTAATCCTTCAAACTCCGGGGCACCTGGGTGGTTCAGTTGGTTAAGCGACTGCCTTTGGCTCAGGTCACAATCCCGGAGTCCCAGGATCAAGTCCCAGGATCAAGTCCCAGGATGGTGAGTCCCAGGATCGAGTCCTGCGTCTTGCTCCCTGCTCAGTGAGAAGTCCGCTTCTCCCTCTGACTCCCCCCTCCCCCCGCCCCTGTGCTCGCTCTCTCACTCTCTCTCTCTCAAATAAATAAAATCTTTAAAAAAAAAAAAAAAATCCAGGTTAGAAGTCGCATCCCCCAGGAAGCCTTCTGATTCCTGTTTTTTGTTACGAATTCTTCACCCCTACTCCCACAGCACCCTATACATCCATACTATATTATCCCACTATCTTGTAATTAATTATTTTTCTGTAATCCCATTAAACTGGAAGCTCTAAAAGGACAGAGAAGATACCTTTAATGCTCACCCACTATATTCCCAGCCCTCAGGACTATGCCTGATTGAAGTTTGCTAAATGACATACTAGACAGCTTTATGTTTAAGGAAACGTTCTCTATAAATTAGATTTTTTTTTTAGTCTATATAAAGTTGCCTGGTAAGTCAAAAAAGAGACCTCAAAGATTTTCTAATTCAACTTATACAATTTACAAATGAGAAAAATAAGATGTTGCCCATTCCATAAATACGGACAATAGAAGTTTTTCCCTAAGTTAGTTTTAGTTACCATTTAAGGTGTTGTTGTTTTTCCCATGTGGTCATAATGGTCTCGTCAGCTACCATTTTGTGACTGCTTTGCTTACGAACAATTAGACACGGCCAATCAACAGTGCCTCTGTCAATAGCTAAAACTTTCATCACCTGAGACAACAGACATGGGCATCTAGACAGCAACATTAAGTTCTTCCACTGCCCTGGATCCTGAAAGAGACCCATGCAATCTTACTACTAATTATTCCTTTTCCTATATTAGTAACTTTTTCTTGCCCTGGGTTTTAAAACTATCTTAGAAATCACTGTTTACTGATTACATAGATCATTAATCAGTATCTTTCAAAAAAAAAAAACACAGCCCACTAAGGGTAAGGCTTTTGATGCCTAGAAATTAACTAATTAGTGAATATTTCAGATTCTCATAATAGGTGCTCAGTAAAAATTACCTAAACCTCATCAAGGGTTTAGTCATGTGCTATTCCTTAATATCAAATACATTGTATGTACTGAGAAAAATGTTTACAAGATTTTTTTTTAAAGGAATCAGTATTCAGTTTTACATTAGGATGGATGGCAATCACTTTACATGATGTGATATTAATTCTAACTCTTCTGTGCCAAAGATAAGCTTTCATTTTTTCCTTAATATATGGATATGTTGGTCAATGACCATTTTAAGTTGTAGCAATAATGATTTTTAAATGGTATACTGCTTGCTTTATGATGATTCACACATGAGCTCAATCATTTTTAGCATGACTGTTTAAACACAGTATCATCTCAACACTGCAAGCAAATCTGTAACTCCTGTCAAAACTGATTTCCAAGGCCAGTATATGAAGGAAATTTCTAACTGATCACCCCTTAACAAAAGTTCTTAAAGGTTAAAAAATAGGGAAAACTTAAGAAAATTTAAATTGCTTTCTTAAAACCACCTGCAAGAGTTGGTTTAAAAAATTACTAAGTTAGGGGCACCTGGGTGGCTCAGATGGTTAAGTGTCTGCCTTCGGCTCAGGTCATGATCTCAGGGTTCTGGGATTGAGTCCTGCATCGGGCTCCCTGCTCAGCGGGAGTCTGCTTCTCCCTCTCCCTCTGCCTCTCCCCCTGCTTGTGCGCTCTCTCTCTCTCTCTCAAATGAATAAATAAAATCCTTTAAAAAAATTACTAGGTTAATTATGGAACACTGCCACATACTACAATAAATTTAGAAGCAGAATAAAATTATTCTAGTGCCTACTTGGTGAATCTTTAAGTTTAGTCTCACAAACATTTATTGAACACCTATTAAATATGAGGTTGCAATGCTATTCACTGGAAACATGGGAGTGAAGGATCTGATCTGTGCCCTTAAGAAGTTCCCAGACTAATATAAATGTCTGCTCTTCTAGGAACATAGCCTCAGATGACATTCTTTGAGAAGAATGTAAGAACAACAAATCAAACAAATCTACATCTGTCTTATTCATCCAAAAAATATCTAGTCTGATTTTAAACTTCCTACTATTGTTGTGTAATAACCAAAAACAAAACCCATATCATATAACACTCTCTTATCTTATGTATCTCTGATAAATCACATTTCCATCCTAAGTTTTTGTCTACCGAGTCAGGACTGAGGCATCGCCATCCAGGAACAGCTTACACTAAATGCAGGTAATGTTGTTTTAAACAGTACAAAACCAAAACGAAACAAACAACTCTTCTAAGATGTTAAATGACCAAGCCCAAGATGATAATGACAAGAGCAAATACAACACAAAGCTAATTCTCATTTTTCACTACCATTTACTCCTCCCTAAGAGTCAGAAAAGATGCCCTTCCTTGCACATAGCAGTATTTTATAGACAGATAATTATATATTATCTTTTTACAATATATTTCAAGGTTTCAAAAAAACGATGTCAACTTCACATGAAAGACCAGTTTTGAATACCAGACTAAATAATTATCCTTCTCTTTTCTCCCCATTTTTCTGTTTCTAATCTTAGGGCATTCAATAGCTCCTTTGCCTCCACCAGAAGATTAAGAGACTAAGAAAGAATATTAAGCTCAATTAAATCGATTTTAATAAATGTCTCGTGGAAGTACACCTTTTTTGTTGTTGTTACTTACAATTCTGTTTCAGTTCAGGGAGAGAAGTCAGGAAGAAAGGAAGCTAAAATAAAAGTGTCAATAAAAAGGAGAGAAATTTGAAGACACCAAATCACAGATGTGATCCTAGAAGGATTAACAGAGCTAAGGCAGCGCTCTAGCAAAAGGCAGGGCCCAGTCAAGATAGTATCAGAAGCCAGGGATACAGAGCAAACAGCATGTCTCAAAGTCATCCAACCATCAGGGATGTCAAGAGTACAAAATCTGTAGGTTGGAGCAAAATAGGCAGCCTTCTAAAAAAAAAATGAGGTATTTCTCTATGGACAAATGTCAAACAACAGTGAAATGTACTGTTAATAAAGCAAAAATACGTAACAGTGTGCAGACTCAGCTACCGTTCATACTGGGGAAAAAAGTGAGGGATATATGCTTGTATATGTACATAGGGTCTCTGGAAGAAGACCCACAAATCATGTAGCAGTGGCTGCCTGAGCAAAGAGACTTATTTTTGTATTTTTATATATCCTTTTATACTTCCTTTTTATTTTTAAACCACAGGCACTTATGACTTAATTCAATAATATTACTTATTCCAATATAGGAATATTACTTAATTCCAAAAAGAAAAATCTATTCAAATTAATTTACAAATGAAGCAGCCAGAAATAAAAAGATTATCAGAGGTCAAGAAAGAGTTATCATTTAAAAACAGAAAAACAGTCCAAAGCAAAAACTGAAATGTGAAGCAAAGAGAACAAGTCAAACTGATCAAGCAGTTAGTACAGCACATGTGGGGCTGGTAGACCTAAAAAAATGAGTTAACTCCTTCCTCAGCCTTTTAGGAACTTCCAGCTTGGGCAGGAATTAATACCAGGTCATAGACAGCCCAGTGTAGACAGGAGGTGAGTCACTTAGAAATGATACAGTAGCTGAAGACAACTATCTGAGCTTAAAGATTAAGCTAGATATCCTAACACATTACTAATGTCCCACCTGACTTGGCCTCTATAGGTTAACAAGAGCAAAAGCATAGACTTCAAAGAGTTCTTTAAATGCAATGTGTGTGACCCAGCTATAATGGAAAGAGTCTAGAAAGGAATGAGTCATTGAAGGTGTGGTTGGGAGTAGAATGGGACCAGGAAGAACTTAGGGGTAAGAATGGATCTTCGTCCCTAAGTCATGTGGCCAAAACTTCCATTCTATCCTCCCAAAGTTTCAGTCAGCCAGGGCTTGGATACTTCAGTGCTAAAGAACTACCTTAGCAAACTTTAGATTACACAGATATATAAGAGATTATAATCTTGAGGAAATTAAAATTGCTTAGTTCTGAGACACATTAACAAAGTAAAAGAATTCCTTTTTTTAAATCCAAAGTAAGTTCTTTGTCCTGCTAAGCATATTTCTAAATCACTTCTAATTTAAATTATTGGGTACTCAGAGTTAAATTTATAGTATTTTCAGAATTTACCTAAATAAAACATAACTCAGAAGGCAAATTTGAATTTGAAAGGTCAGAAGGGGACATTTAAAAAAGAACATTTTACCCATTTCACAGACCCTTTTCTTTAGATTGTAAGGAAATAGGAAATACAGAAAACAGACATGAGCACAGTGCAAAAGGAAAACAATTAATATCATTTCTAAATATTCATCTTCCAAAGTTAAACACAGATTTTGAGAACAGGATCTTCTTGAAAAAGTATATTTTACAAGACAAAGTATTTATGATGAACCAATTCTAACTTCTTAATCAAATAACACTATAATAAAGTGAAGTAGTATAAAATAATCTTATTCATTCCAAATTTTGGATTTTAAAAAAGAAACCTATAGGGGTGCCTGGGTGGTTCAGTCAGTTAAGCTTTGACTCTTGATTTCAGCTCACGTCATGATCTCAAGGTCGTGAGATTGAGCCCCGCATCCGCCTCCACACTGGGTGTGAAGCCTGCTTAAGATTCTCTCCCCCTCCCGCCCCTCTCTCTCCCTCTCTTAAAAAAAAAAAGAAAAGAAAAAAATAACTAAAGCAAAGAACATAACTAAATGTGAAAAGCTACTACCTTCATTTCCATGAGAAAGAACAAAAAGAATTATCTACTAAAAGTAGCTAAAAAAACTCTTACTATGACCAGAAACTAACCATTCTTCCATTATGCCAGAAATATATTATAAATACTGCCCCTAGTAAGTAAAATTTTAATTGTATTTATCATAGGAAAACCTGACCTATCAGTTACTTCTGTTAATGAAGGGCAACTATCAAAAATAAAAACAACAAAAAACATCCTAAAATAGGTTATACCACCATTCAACATGAGCAAGGCATGGGTATACACTCAATACTTACTGAATTAAATATACATAAAAGCAATGCCATGAGGACTATAGATTAAAAATCCAAGAAACAGATCTCAAAAAGTCAGAAATAAAAACAATTTTTATTTCAGATTAAGGAGCAATCTATTTCTTAGATCCTAAAATAAAGCAAATATATACTATTTCTCTTTACAATGACTTAAAAACAAGCACCTCAAAGCATTTATCAATACAAAACAAGTGGTTACATATAAATACCTTTTCCTTTTAATCTCAGAAATTTTTCATTAAAATAGTAAGCTTTAGAATAATAACAAAAGATATTCTAATCATTTAAGTTTCCATCAGTTAGGTGTCCCATCAATCATGTGTGTTTGCTTATTTATATCTGACTCAACAGTCTGCAATGTCAGAGAAGACAAATCTACAAAAGGTGGATAAGTGGATCATAAGAATCACAGCAACCTAAGATTTTACTGAGAAAGGAGTTCCAGCAGTTCTCAGTCATATATATGTAGTAAGCAACACCTATTTTAAAGCACTGGACTGCAACTGCACATTATTATACATGCAATTGTTATAATAATCTAATAGAAAGTAAAGCTAAACAAATGTATCCAAAGAGACCAGGGACTGGAGTATTTTTCCTGTCTTGTGCTCTATCAAAGATGTTGAAACTCCAGGGTTAGGCAGGAGAAGGTGAGTCACATAAACAGAGACGATAAAGTAATTAATCTAGAACAAGTGACATCTCAGACATTCTGAATAAATAATCTACTCTGCCAATGCTTATAAAGACCCAGTATAAGATACTAGTGCCCATTGAGGGTTTACAAAGATATGCCAAAAAATAACAATAAATTGTTAAGAAGAGGCACATTACTAATAAAGATACCACATATATTTCTGTAAATCATACTAAATAATTTTATTTCTATATTAATATATAATATATAGTACTGACAAAGAATCTAGATCAAGTCAATATTTATTCATCACTTTTTAAAAATATGACAATTAAAAGTATTCTATAAAACCAATGTATACATTTTAATATTTTTTAACAATTAATTCTAAGGATTTCTAGGTAGTTTTTAACTATTATGTGAAGATTGAAAAATACATCCTAAAACATTCATACCTGATCGAAAGCACTCAATTATTTGTTGAATACCAGATTTGGATGTCTGTAGTGGTTGCTGTAACAAAGGAGCATCTCCAGGTTCCAGGATATAAACTACATGGAAGACAAACACCCACCCCAATCCCCACAAAAAAAGGGTTATTTAAATCATTTACTATTGAAGTAAAACAATGGTTTGCTACAATCATGTTAATGATAATCACACTTGTTCGTATATACTTCACCATCATCTTTGTAAGGCAAAATGAAATAATGGGAACAAAAATAACTAAAATTATTCTCAATTCAAGGCTAAATTAAAGCTACTTAAGGCTTCAAATGCAAAAATTTACTATTTTGGTATTATTTACTACATATTCGTCATGTTTGCCTTTTTATTCCCCTTGAAGAGGACCCTCTATATTTAATCAAAATTCTAGGGCAATGATGTCCTAGCCACATCTCATAAACCATTCCAGAACCCTCTGGACAATCTAGTACAGCTCTCTGGGCAATTATGAGAGCAAAACTCAAAAACCACTCACTGCCTAAGGAAAGAACTAGTGAAGTGCCGAATGACAAGATGTTCAAGAATGTTCACTGCAGCACTCTGCAGCACTGTAAATAAGAAAGAAAAAATTTCAAACAACTTAAAAATCTCTCAATAGGAACCAGACTAAATAAACTATGAAATATCCCTACAACAGAATCCTTCACGGCTGTTAGAAAGCATGAGCTAGATCTACATGATCTAGATCTACATGTACCAACAACAAAGGATGTCAATAATAGATTGTTGAGCAACAAAAACAGGTTAAAGAATATGATTTCACTTATATTAATATATATTTCAATAGGTACAGAAAGAAAGAAATTTAATGTTTATGTGTGTGTATGTACAGACACTAATATAAACACAAAAGTCTGGTGGAATACCAACAAAACAAGGGTTCTGTCAGGGTGGACTTTACGGGGTGATTTTAATTTTCAGTCTCATACTTCGCTAGTGCTTCAGAGCCTGGGCTTTTAGAAGTGTGCATGTTAAAATACACACACACACACTTTTATAATAAGTAAAAATAATATTCCACTTTAAAAATAAAAATTTTCATTTTCATATAGAGAGGTTTGCTTTCCAAAATTCTCAGATTCGGGGAGCCTGGGTGGCTCAGTCGTTAAGTATCTGCCTTCGGCTCAGGTCATGATCCCAGGGTCCTGGGATCGAGTCCCACATCGGGCTCCCTGCTCTGCGTGGAGCCTGCTTCTCCCTCTCCCACTCCCCCTGTTTGTGTTCCCTCTCTCGCTGTCTCTCTCCCTGTCAAATAAATAAAAATTAAAAAAAAAAAATTCTCAGATTCACAGTATAATTATATAATAAATTAGATTATGATGATATGAAACAAGGTAACTGAAAAGGAGAAGTTTTTCCATCAGATACCAAATAAAGAAATGGTTTTTGGTAGAGAAAAACCAGTCACTTTAATTCACTTTTTTCAATATGTTATAATGTTCTACTCAACTATTACTATCTTAACCCAGGATCATCCACTCTGTGGGAAAATAAGGAGGATTACATCAATAAATGTGTGCTGCTACTGCTTCAGGACCTGGTCTTGGGCAGCATTTAGCTTTCTGATAAGGAAGCTAAAGCCTGCTCTCCTATGTGTATAGACACAGCCTTAGATTCTCTGTTAAGGCTTCAAGTCTTGTGCTCAGTGTACACAAGTGGGAGGAACTGTCTCAGGACCAAGTCATCTTATTAAGTACAACGTTCCCAATTTTAAGACATACGTTAGAGGAGAATTTTAAATGAATTAAGAACATGCACACACCCACAACTCATTTTGAGAACATCTGACATTGGCACTACCTGCAGCGATTAAAAATATAAAGACTCCAGACCTGGACTTACTACACTGAATTTTTTTTCTGACATTTACTAGATACAACTAAGGCAAATCAAACTCTCTGATCTCTTTCTCATCTCTAAAATGGGGATAATAAAAGTATCTAAATCATAGGGTTGTATGAGGATTAAATGAGCTAATGCAGGTAAACTGGTTAAACAGAGCCTGGGATATATGTTCAATAAATGTTCTATCACCACCACCACCACCACCACCGCCACCACCATCATCATGTACAAATCAATTGCTTTCTGACACCAAAAACTGAAAAACTGTTTCCAAAATCAAAGAGAAGTAGAATTCAATCCTTTAAAGATGCAATAGCAGAAGTTTGTAAATAGACTGATGATACCATTTATTTGGATTAGATGGATCTCTTTTCACTATTTGTACAAAACAACTGATGACTGTTTATAAAAAAAATAAGAGAGGGTAGAAAATGTACAATTGTAAAGAACTAAAAGCAACAAGGTTTGGCTCTATAAGTAGCAAGAATTCTAGAAAGGGAAAATTAAAAAAAAAAAACAGTAATGACTAAGGGAGGGATATGGAGAAAAATGGAAACTTGTCCTTAGAGTCCCCTTTCCTCATTTAAAAATGCTCCAGAAAACTTTCTTTAATACGCCAGCTTCCATTTCCACATGAGAACATCCGATTTCAAAGCTGCAGCAAAATTTTGTTACCTAATCACCTTCAGAACACTGCTACCACTAGACACATCAACAGCCTGAGACACCATTCAAAATAACCCCAGAGTTAGCTTAGTTATCCATGGACACATCCACTTAGCATAGAGATCTGTGTAGTTACCACTGTAAAAAAAAAAAAAAAAAAATGATTCTTCATTTGAAAACATACTCTCAACCCTAAAAAACTTTATATATTAGTATTTTATAAAAGTTTCCTCTCATATACCCTATCATCCCTCCCAAGATCAGTTTACACAACCATTAGGAAAAAAGCCATCATCGTCCTCCAATCAAAACACCCAAACCCTCAGAAGTTAACATCTGTCTTTACATCCTTCCAAGAACACACATCCCAGAATCAAATACCTACTTTTGTTAATAGTCTCTCCTACCGTAAAAAAAAGCCCCTTAAAATAAATTTCTGCTTATGATGTCTGGGATTTACTTACAAATAATAGAGGGTAGGGAAGTAGTAGGAGGGTGGACAACAGAACTGTGCAGAAGGGAGAATAGAGACGAAAAGAGATTGTCCATGTATTGACGTGTTGAGTTGTGTGATGCTTACAACAGGTTCCTTACACCATTCTCTCTACTTTTGAATGTTTGAAAAGTTCTGTAAGAAACAGTCTTCAAACATAACTAAGAAAGTACTTTACATACACCGACAGGCTTCTATCACCACCCTTCACTACAAATTGACCCATCCTATCAAGGCCTCCTCAGGAACACACTGCTCAGGGACCAGCCCCACTATTCATGATTCAAAAGGGGCTAGACCTCTGATGATTGCCCATTAAAAGAATTTCTCAAACAGCATGCCATCTTCTTCCCTCCATCTAAAGACATCCTCTTTTAAAAACTAACCTAACATATTCCTCGCAGTACTGAAAATATCCTCCCACACAGGACTAACCTTCCTCTGAAATAATGACAATTAACTATTCTATAAGTTAACAAACTTCTAGCTTTCCACCGAACTAATCTTCAGAAAGTGTTTAATTCTAGCTAAGAAGCAAAGAAACACGAACTACTTATGATCTGGTAGTCTGAAAAATAAACTGCACTGAAGAAGTTTCTGGTAAAAGAAAGTTTAATTTTTAAAATTAATGCAACTTATAGGATTTCTTGTTAATGAGGGAGAAAAAAAGCAAAGAAGTTCCAATACATATTAAAAAGTTCAACTCTGAAAAACATCCTTAAAAAGACATTAAAGTCTCTAGAAAACTTTAATTATCAGAATACACTAAGCTATGGTCACAAATTATTTATTTACTTGTCTATTTCTTCCCACTCAAAAGTTTTATGAGGGAATGACCTCATCAGTTTTGTTCACAACTTACATGCCCATTGCCTTGGACAGTGCCTAGCACCTAATAGGTGCTCAATAATAATTTGCCAAAGAAATAAAGAAATAAATGAACACATTAACTTCTTCCTAAGTAAGTAGTTTTATTTAAAATGATTTCATTAACTAATTCAATTTAAATGACTTGAAATGTTCTCAAATAAAAAACTAGAATAAAAGGTCAGTGGAACACAAGTATAAAAGGCATTCACAGCCTTCTACTTCAAAACTAACTCCATTCAATATTTGATAAAGTATAAATGACACACAAAATACACAAAATATGCAGTATGCAGGGGTGCTGAAAATAGGTCATGGGCAGTTGAACAGAAACTGGATCCATCCTGGGACTATATTATTAGCAGAGGTAAGTTATGACTGATTTCCAGTAAACCAGTGGGGAGATAGGGCCATAGTACAAATTTTTTCTCATGTGTATCAAAGTTTTCTGAAAATGGGAGTTCTTCTTCTTTACCACTGCCATTTTTTCTCATTAGTCTAAAAAGTTCTCTACTTGAACTCTACTGTGACAAAACCAAGTACATTAGAGCAGTTAACATACTCCCAACAAAAAAAAAAAAAAAAAAAAAAGCAAAAACATAAAGAGTCCTAATAACTTTTAGGTCAAAAATAATGATAAACACCTGCCTTTAAACTAGAATAGAATAGCCTTTGTTTGGTTTAGTGACATATGTATTCAATGTTTCCAAGTTGTACCTCTAAATGTTTGTGACAAAACTCATCAAGCTTCTGATAACTAGAAAAACTCAAGTTTATATACCACATTTATCAGATTAAAGTTTTCTAATATTCAAGAGACTCGAAAAAGGAACTTTTTCATTCCATAAATCCAAATAAAAACAGTTCTACTGAATAAACTATCCTAAAAATACTTATGTATTCTACCTGAATAACCAGATTTTTTATTTTGCAATACAATATATTCTGTGCAAGAAAATTTTTAAAGGTTGCAGTCAGCAAAACCTGATTGTTCCAACAAGCTGCGTTTAACAAACTTTTTTAGCCCAACTAAACTCATTTTTAGGCTTTAACCACTATTCCCTAATAAACATGCGTAAGAAACTTAATTTTTAAAAGTTTAAATGAATCCACTTTCACGAAGACATACTAGCATTCAGCTACCTATTTTCTTCCCTGTCTTCAGTTTTAAACATTCAAAGGACACGGGGGTATACTACTAACTGCAGGCTGCCTCGAAAGAAGGAAAAGGGACTGAGTGATTGATCTTGTGGAAAAGACTGAAGGTGACACTTGCAGTACTTTTTTTAAGGGATCAAGCAGGGGAGACCTCTTGTTTGTACAAGCTTTTAGCTTCATAACTAGTTTTATGCTGGGGAAAATTACAGGCTGCTTACTTAGAAATGACTTCTTGGGCAGGAGGAAAAGAAAACTGGGAGGAAAACACAAGGCAGAGTGGCTCTGACGAAGGGCAAAGTAAACTGGAGGAGAAAGGAGTATACCTGGTTCACAGCATCCGTGATGATGGTGGTCAGTCTGACAGTATTTGTCCCTTAAAGGCATTTTCAGTGGGCGAGACCGACTTTCCTTTCACTGTAAGAAGCTCTTCATTGCGGCTTGGCTGTTGAAAGAAGCACAAATCCGTCACTCACCCTGAACTTCCTGGGGGGGCTCTGGCTATGTTTTCCAGATACGTTCCCTCCACCCGCCCTCCGTTTTCCCTCCACGGACCCGTACCTTCCTCTAGAACCTAAAAAAGAAAAACGCACGAAGGCTTCTGCAGCCCAAACTCCCGCACAGGTTCATCGCCCGACCCGGAAACGCAGCCTGGGGCGCGCAGCGCAAGGCGAGGGCCTGGCCGGCTGCGCGGGCGGCAGCGGCCTCGCCGGCCCGGGCGGGCGCGCGCGGAGACGGAGGCGCGGAGCGCGGCGGGCACAGCCGGCGCCGGGGCCCGCGGAGCGGCGGGCGCGGCGACAGGGGCGGTCGAGGTGCGGCTCCCGCCGGCGGCCGGCCCTCGCCGCGCCCTCCCGCCACGCACGTGCGTTGGGGTCTCCGCGGCGGAGCCCCCGTACCCATAACCAAGTGCGCCCAACTTACTTAACTCCTAGGGCGGGCAGGCGGAAGGAAGGCAGGCAGGCCGGGCAGCCGCAGGGACAGCCTGGCGTGGGAGGCGGCTTCGGGCCCCACCTGGCGCAGGCTCGGCACACCACGCGAAGGGAACCGGGGTTCGGGCCCGACGCGCTCCCAAAGAGTCCCCGCCGCCGCTGACGCGGAAGCGCCACAGCTCACCACGTCCCTCCGCGGCCCGAGGCGACGGCGACGGCGGCGGCGGCTCACGGCGTCCCTCCGCGCTGTGGAGCTGGGCGGGCGGGCGGCGCGCGGGCGCAGGCAGTTGACAGGAGGAACCGCCCCGCAGAAGCCGCCGCCGCCACCGAAGGAGCCGGAACCGGAGCGGGCAGGACCTGGGCGCCCCTCGCCGGGGCAACGGCTGCCCGCCGGAGCCCGGCTCCCCCCGAAGCGCCGCTCCACCTGCAACGGTCCCTCAGGCTTTTGGAGAGGGGCGGGGAAGAATGGGGGTTCCCCCCCACCTTGGGCCTTTTTTGGTAGTAGTTGTTGTTTCAGGAAACTTTATTAAGTCAGTCTCTCTCTTTCTCTGTCTCCCCCTCCCCGAAGAGCCTGAGCTACCGCCGCGGAGCGGGTAGGAAGGGGGAAGCAGAGACTCTCCCGCAGCGACAGGGAGCGACTGACTGACCCCGGACGGAGATGGGGCGAGGGCAGGAAGTGACAAGCTCTCGGAGTGGGTGGGGGGAGTGTGGCCGGCACGCCCGGGAGCGCCGCGCGCATGCGCCCGGCCGGGCGCCCGGGCCTGTGGCGAGGCGACGCGCTACGGCCCGGCAAAGGGAGGGAACCTGGGCCGGTGGCGCTGGGTCCGCGACCGGGGGTCTCGGGCCGGCTACTCGTCCGCGCGTGCTCTCGCGGGCGGGCGGACGGACAGCCGGAGCCCGGGGCTGTTTGTGCCCGAGAGGCGGGCTGATGGGCAAGCAAACTGTTGCTTTTCTCCTTCCATTGGAACCGAAACGGGGAGGGTTGGAAAAGCACGGGAAGGAACTGTAGGAGGCGGCTCGACAAATGGGTGAGCCGTAAGGAGTGGTGATTCCGAAAAGGTTGTCAGCACACTAATGGTAGAAGTCTTTTCTTTCTTTTTCTTTTTTTTAACCTAAGAATTTTCGAAGTGTGCCTCTCAGCACTTTGGGGCTTTCATCAGGTCCTTGGGAGGAAGCTATCGAGTGGCGGACGATCGGGATTGATTGCCGCGGCGCTCCTCTTCTGGAACCTGAAGGCGAAGAAGGTGGGTCACGTGCGCAGGACGCGCTTTCCCTCCTCTTCGGTGCCCGCGTCCGGCTTGGAAAATCCCCGAAGATCGCGGTCGTCTGTCACATTCCGAAAACCCGTGTGGTCGCCTCTTGGGGCAGGAGAGCCGCCTCCTCAACTCCCAGAACGGAGTTCTTGTTCTACAAGCAAATACGTGTCCACTGTCGGTCAGGAAATATTAAGGGAGACAAAGCTTTGTTTTATCTTCTCGCGCCGACAGAGCCACTGAAAATCTCCGCAGTTGTGTAGCTTGAATTGTCCGTTTGCGGGGTCCTGAAAGAGCGGTTTAATAGTCGGTAGGTTCTGTGTGTATTTTGGAAGAGCAAACGAGTGACTGAAATCTGTTTTAAAAATTAATAGGAAAATTTGTGGTAGGTCCAGTAATTAATTGATAAACTCGTTATTGTGAAAATACTGAACGGAGCATTTGCATAGGTCTTGGGGGATTGTAGCAGCTTGATTATAGGGGTGACAGGAAAAGGAAGAAGAGTGGTCCAAGTGATCCACTTTTTTAAGGGAATTCCAGCTACCGTACATTCTACACGCCAGTCACATATACGCAGTATGTTTGATCATTTTTTTCTGTCCCATTTTCAAGAGGCGTCATACAACATCAAACTAAAATGTAATGCCACAACCTACATGTAAGGTAAAAGAAATTATGTCCACATGATGGTGTTTGTTAGGCAGCCAATAAAAATCATTTTGTGTAACATGGTGTGCAGTATGCTTAAGCATATCGAAAAAAAATTAATGTGACCCCTTAACAGTGGAGTTACAGGTAATTTTTATTTAACATTGGAGCTCTTTGGTAAAATTTGAGGTGAAATATTTTCTTCATTTCCAGAGGAGCTTTTCCTACTTTTATAAGCACATTTATTTAGCACAGGTTAAAAAATGAATATACAATTTTAAGTTTCCATAAACCTGAAAAGGCATTGCTTCAAATATGTGAGTTATAAATGTTTGCTGGCCACATATGAGTAAAAAATGGTTAGCTTCCGGAGTAAATGCAGCACTCTTTATACTTTAGAGTGGTTGGTACTAGAAGGTCCCCAAAATTGCTTGCTAATAGAATGGATTTTAAACAGTTTTTGAGAAATTACAAGTATAGATAAGATTGGAACGTCTGTGTGGGTAAAACAGATACTGGAATACTGAATCAGAATTTTAAAGATGAAAAGAAACCATGGAAATTATCTAGTAAACCTTACTTTATAAATGGGAAAACTGAAATTCAGAGAGGTTAACTGACTTGCTAAAGGTCACAAAGTAACAGAACTGGGTCTAATACCTAGATCAATCCCTTCTATAACAATATTAGTATCTGACATGTATTGAGTAATATGTTTTAAGCTCAAGAATAACTCATTTAGGGGCACCTGGGTGGCTCAGTCGGTTAATCATCTGCCTTCGGCTCAGGTCATGATCCCAGGGCCCTGGGATCGAGCCCCGCATTGGGCTCCCTGCTCAGCAGGGAGTCCGCTTGTCCCTCTGCTCTTCACCCGGCTTGTGTTCTCTCTCTCTCTCTCACTTTCACTCTCTCTGTCTCCCAAATAAAATCTTTAAAAAAAAATTTTTTTAAATAACTCATTTAATCCTATCAACAATTCAATCCATTCTACAGGTAGGGAAACTGAGGCAGAAATAGGTTAGATAACTCCTCAAGGTTACCTGATACACACAGCTGATAGGCAACTGAGCCAGCATTTGAACCCAAGTAGTATGGCTCTGAGACTCATGACCTCAGCCATTATGCTATACTGCCTATACCATGTCGCCTACACTATACCATAACCATTTGGATCACACCGTATGTGAAAGATGAGCCAGCAGATCCTGTCATTTGTGAAAGGTATTAAAATGCTATGTCGAAGTTTATGGAGTTGCTAAATCACAAGAATTTAATTGAAATTCCACAGGGCTCTAGAGCTTAGACTTTGGACATCATCTAGAATTATCATCCTACCTCTAAAAACACTGCACAAATCATCCCACTGCACAAATCATCCCGGAAAAATTATGTCTTCATTGTTCACTGCAGCAACCTAGGTGACACATTATTACGCTTTAAGGAACTTTGTGATCCTTAAAGTCTGGAAATATGTCCTTATGATTAACCTAAGACCATTTTATGGTTTAAAATTATTCTCTCATCTTCAAGGCAGGAAAATTCTACACACACATACACATTTATTATTGCTGCATAAGAAACCACCCTAGAAATAGTGCTTTAAAACCATTTTATATACTCTCAATTCTATAGATCAGTGATTCAGATCAGCCTTGTCTGGGATCATGCAGGTAATCATTTGGCATCTTAACTGAGCACACTCATGACTGGTTGTTGGTGTTGACTATGGGCTGGACCTACCTCCTAGCCTTTATTCCTGGGCTTCATATGTAGGCAGCATGCCAGGCAGGTAGAAACAGGAAGCCGTAAGACCTCTTGAAGCAGAAGTTACACGACATCACTTCTATCACATTCTGTTAGTCAAAGTAGGTCAAAAGGCCAGCATAGATTCAGGAATTGGGAAAACAGATTCCCCTTATGGATGGGAAGAACAGCAAAGTCCCATTTCAAAGGGACATGCATAATAGGAATGGGAAGGATTATTGTGATGGTCTTTGCATATACTCTTTCACAATAGATAATTATTTCAAGAATGGTACTAGCTAATTAAAGCTGTTGAATTTTTTTAATGCTATATGATTCATATAATTCCTTTAAGAACAGCAAAACAAGAAGATACTAATCAAACCTATTCTTTAAATAATTGGGCCAATTTGGTGGCCTTGTGTAGATAAACTGATGATTACTTAACTTTTCCAAGTAGACTTGCTTTTTGAAAGGTTTTCCCATCTGTTTTTAAACACATCCCACTAAAACACAGCATAAAAACCTAACACCAAATAGAAGTAATTATGGTTTCTATAGAACTTTTACTCTGGTCCAGATTTTGCTAGCTTTGATAATGAGGTGGCATTTTATAACACAAATAATTAAATTCATAATTAGGTACAAATCAAATTATGGGCCAAAGTAGAGGCTGAGAGTTTAGAAAGAGTCATGGAAAAATTGATTTACAGGGACAAATATTAAACTGTTGCTCTTTTATCAACTATATAGAATTACAAGCAACATAATATGAAAAAAGAAGATAATGCTTTCCCTAAGGTGTTTATTTTAAGGAGAGTAAGGAGTAGGTTGTACCTGTGTTGCTATCCGGGAGATAAGTTGCCTACCAGGAAACCCTGACATGAACTTATATCTTTCATTCCTGGTGCTAAGGCACACTTAGGTCTTGCTGGCCAGGTGACACAATGCATGCACCATGCTGTCGTATGGGCACCAAACCATCCTTGACAAGTCTTCCATTCAAATGCATTTCAGATAGCATTTAAGTGAATTTCATTTCTTAAAAATGTTTTTTGGTTATAAAGGAGTTTGTTCATAAGTCTGTATTATAATCTAATAATACCTAATGATAATTTTGTCACTTTTGAACTCAATGTGCTAAGTGCTTTTCTAGTTTTTCACTGAAACCTTACAAAGATCCTGGGTTAGATATTACCCCATTTTATGTAAAGAGAAACAGATAATTAGTGTCCGAGCCAAGATTTAAATATAGGTCTGAGTCCAGGTCCTATGCCTCAAGTTACATATATTCTAATGATTACTAAAACTTTATCTCCAGGTCAGACCTGTCCCTGGAGCCTCTAAACTCTTAACTACCCATGAGACAGACCATCTGAATTTCCCCAGGCATCTCAAAGTTAGCAGGACCAAAACTGAACTTCTTACCAAAATGTTCTTTCTCTTTCAAATTTTAACCAACAGTGTTCCTATCCAAAAGGCTCTCAAGACAGAAGCCTTGGAGTCAAAGGAAGAGCATTGGCACAGATGCAAAGTAACGGAGGTTACTTGTATACAGGTTTCTCATCTCACTTATCCCCAACATCTAACCTACCACCATAAACAATTTGTTATACCTCAGAAAGCTCGAGAAAATAGTTTCCTCTCTCCATATGCACCATCAATCTTCTAGTCTAAAACCCTATCTCTGAACCATTGCCATAACCACCTCCATGGTCTCCCTACCACCCATCTCTCCCTCCCTCAATTACTCCACACTATCAACAGAATGATATCCAAACCGATCCAATATTACTCCCCAACTGAAAATCTCTGTTGACTGCCAATTTTTTACATGAAGAAATAAAATCTTAACAAGAAGCATATAATCAGCGTACATTTTGAGGTCAGAAAAATCTGGATGTTAGTCCTATCTCCATCAATCATGGGTTTTATGTCTCTAGGCAAGTAAGAACCTCTTCTGAGCCTCAGTTTTCTCGGCTTTATGCTATTTCCAGCATAGTGAGAAATTGGTTAATGAATAAAGTACCCAGCAGGATCTGGAACACAGTACAGATATATAATAATAAATTCTCATTACATCTGGCCCACCCACAACTTCACAACTTTATGCTCTAAGGATTTCTCACCCTTTTCAGAAATTAACAAAGCAAAAGGTCACAACTGAGTGGGGAAGGAGTGTGGGACACAAGGGAATTTTAGAGAGAGATGATAGAGGTGTCAGTTATGAGGGTGTATCCCTTTGTTAAAGCAACTATTAAAATAGAATAGTGGTTACCTTTCCACGGAGGAGAAGGTTGGCAAGTGGAACTGAATGAAGCAGTACCAATTTGGGAATTACTGGCCATTTTATAGATTTTGACCTCAGTGATCATTACATGTGTATTTGCTTTATAATAATTCAGTAAGCTGATAGATATGTTTTTGCACTTTTATGAATGTGTATAAAATTTCACAATAAAAATGTTTTTTAAAGTAGCTGACCTAGGTTTTAATGCCTCTGAACTACATCTTAGAAACAGAAATTAGAAATGATTATTGAACTTTTCAAGGCTTTATGCCTTTGCACATGCTACTCTTCATGCCTGGAAATACCTTTCCCCTTCATCTAGAAAACTCATATTCACCCTTCAAGACCCACTTCAGATGTCAGTCCTTCTATGAAATCAGTTCCTACGGACAAATAATTGCTCCAACTTCTTTCTCCTGTAGTACACCATTCTGATCAAATGTCTGACTCTCCCATCAATCAGAATTCATCAAGAACAAAGACCCTAACTTATTGCTCTGTGTTTTGCCATTATCTAGCACACTACTGTCATATAATAGGGCAACCATTAAAAGTTACTGGGTGGGCCTGAGGGCCTGAATTAGCAGTAAACATAATAAGAAAAATTTAGTGGGGAAGACCACTTTTACGAGTTTGGTTTACTTAGGCTCCTGGCCTAATGGGACACTCATTTCCAATGTAGAGACAAATCATACAAGGACAATTAAAGGAACCACTAGCATATAGAGTCAGCAATGCTATAGAAAATATACCACAGCCAGATACTTGAAACTACTAACCATCCATCATATAAAACCATTTATGACTTTGTTTTTGTTTTTTTGAGGGGTGGTTTTTTTGTTTGGATTTTTTTTTACTTTTAATTTTGAAATAATCTCAAATTTAAACCCAAATTGCAAGTAATTCCCATACCCCCTTGACCCAGATTCACCAATTTTTAATATTTTGTCATATTTGTTTTCTCTCTCTCCATTTGATTTTTGAACCACTTTAGAATAGGTTGCATACATCATGGCCCTTCATCCCTTATTACTTCAGTGTGTATTTTCTAGAAGCAAGGATATTATCTTACATAACCACAGTACAGTTATCAAATTTAGGAAATTTGACATGATAAATTTGATTTGATTTGATTTGATTAAACATGATTTGGGGCGCCTGGCTGGCCCAGTAGGTACAGTGTGCAACTCTTGATCCTGGGGTCCTGAGTTAGAGCCCTACTTTGGGCATAGAGCCTACTTAAAAAACAAAACAAGCAAACAACAAAAAAAACCCCATGATTTGATACCATACAGTTGACCCTCAAAACAACACAGGTTTAAACTACACAGGTCCACTTACACATGAATTTTTTCAATAAATACAATACAGTGCTGTAAATACATTCTCCTGTCCCTTTCTTTTTTTTTTTTTTTTTTTTTTTTTTATTCATGACAGAGAGAGAGAGAGAGGCAGAGGGAGAAGCAGGCTCCCAAGGAGCAGGGAGCCTGATGCGGGACTCGATCCCAGGACCCTGAGATCATGACCTGAGCCAAAGGCAGACGCTTAACCATCTGAGCCACCCAGGCGCCCTCCTGTCCCTTTCTTAACATTTCTTTTTTCTAGCTTACTTTATTGTGAAAATACAGTATATGATCCATATGACATACAAAATGTGTGTTAATTGACAGTTTATGTTATTGGCAAGGCTTCTGGTCAACTATTAGTAAAGTTTTGGGGGATTTTTAACTGGGGTAGGGCTGGCATCAGCACCCCTAACTCCTGCATTGCTCAAGGGCCACCTGTACTTTTATTTCTTCTATGATTATTATTACTATATATAATATACATATTATATTAATTATAACTGTGTCAATTATCCTGATAGTGCCCTGTATGGACGTGTTTTATTTGCCCCAATACAAAACCCAGTCCAGAACCACATACTGCATTTAGTTATAACCCTTTACTTCCCTTCAACCTGGGACAGTTCTTCAGTCTTTCTTTGTCCTTTATGACAATGACGTTTTGACAAACACAGGCCAGTTTTTTATAGAAAGAGTCACCTGGGGGTTTGTCTGATGTTTCTTCATGATGAGATTGAGGTCTTAGATTTTTCTGAATGGAATACAGCATAAGGAATGTGGTGTCTTTCTCAGAGTATCAAAACCAGAGGCATGTGATGTCTGTTTGATATTAATCTTCCTCATTGGCTTAAGTGGCTGTTCAGTTTCTCCACTGTGCAGTTCTATTTTTGCTATGAATAGGTAATTTGTAAGGAGATAACAATGATTTTATTATAGAGACTCCTTTTAACTAGTGATCTTGATAATTCTGTTTAGGTTTTAGAAATTATCAAAGCAAAAGTAAAAGCATAAAAGTTAATTGAACTGCATCTTTATTTCTAATCTGATCATTAGAAACTAATGATCAATTATGTAACTGGAAACTGTTCTCTGGTTTAGTCTTACATGATATGAAGTTGAAAAAAAATTTATAATTATTGGAAAATCCATTCAATCAACATTTACTAAGTACCTATTATATTCCAAACATCCTGCCAAACTGAGAACATACAGTAAGACAAGTTTTCTTCCCTTTAGTCAACAAAAATTTACTTACTGCCTTATATACCAGGTCCTAGGAAGACATCCATGGATAATTTAGGAAGTTCTTATCCTCTTGGAGTCTCTAGTCTAATTATTGAGGTGTTCCCAATCTAATAATGATGACATGTAAAAAAAAAGTATATTATTTCATAATAATCACATAAGACAGGCACAGTAGAGATGAGTGAAACCATGGAATTATAAGGTCCATACACAACAGGAGCAGGGGGACAGGGAAAGGGAGCATTTGCTGCAAAGGGTTTTTCAACTCACTTGAATTAGAGAAGAGAACATTATAGAGGATGAATAAATAAGGTGTTGGTTTTTTCCAAGTAAATATTATAATGTTTCCAAGACCTATTCCTTAAGGATAGCTGGTTAATAGATTATCTATTGTTATGTATTAACAGGGTAATGCATTCTAAATTCTAAATTGTAAATGTTTTGTGATTCTATTTAGACAGGTAGTCATTGAAGAGTTTTGTATTTGGTATTATATCATTAAAAAAGCATTCTAGGGGTGCCTGGGTGGCTCAGTCAGTTAAGAGTCCGACTCTTGATTTCGGCTCAGGTCATGATCTCAGGGTCTGAGATTGAGCCGGGCATCGGGCTCAGCGCTGCGCTTGGAGCCTGCGTAAGATTCTCTCTCTCCTTCTCCCTCTCCCCCTCCCTGCTCATTCTCTCTCTCTCTCTAAAATAATAAACAAAATAAAATAAAATGCATTCTGAGTTTTTCATTCTCTCAACTGCTCCTCCTTATGGCCAAAGGAGTTTATTTTCAAGACTGATTTAATAAGGCTGTGGAACAGAATGAAGTTAACTCGTTTATGTAACTCTAACTTCCTTAGCGTATTGATCTGAACTACCAAATCCAAAATCTTCTCTAATGATAAAGTATCAGAAAAAAATGTACACTTTTGGCTTATGGAAACTGAGTCAAAAGCTAAAAATCCATACATATGCCTCAGGTCTTAATTCCAACTGAACACATAGACTGCTATGTATCAAACCATAACCTCCAACAAAGTATTATTTTAATGAAACATTTAAAGTAAGTAACTGGTTTCTGAACTTATATTTGTCCAAGATTTTAAATAATTTCTAAAATAATTTCTACAAAATGATCACTTTTTTATCTTAAATCAACAGTTATTTTCCCATTCAAACTTTCTTAATTTTTTTCAAATGAGAGTTGTCTATCGTGAATATAAGAGATCTCTAAAATTACAGCATATGGAAGGAGATGGTATTTTATATAGTCAGGAAGCTTGCTGGGTGTTTCTTCTACTCTCAAGTCATCAGAGAGCGACAACAGACTGTTTATAAAGCAATTTCAGTGTTGTCATTGTCATATATAGAGTAAGAAAAAGTTAGATTGGTAAGAATTTTGAAAAAGAGCATCAGGAAGTTACTCCCTCCATTCAGGCAGAGTAGCATTTATTTAGGATAAAAGCACCATAGGATCCAGAATGTCAAGATTCTTGGTAAGACCTGTGTTGCTAGGCAGTCCTAAATCATCCAATGTCACCTACGTGCTGGAGTTAATCACTGTTTTCAATACCATAGAATGACACTTTCTTCTTGGAACTTTTTGGGGGAATATCTAAATCTGTCACTCTCTTCTCATATAAATGCTTTTGGAAAAAAAAAGTGAGTCCGTTCAGTGTCTTTCTAAACATCTTATTTCTAGAAGAGACAGTATGCCAACTCAGTGAGGAATGACCGTTTCATTTATGGGAATAAACTTGCTTTACATTTCTCAGAAATTTTATTTTAAAAAGGAACAATTGCTATAGAATATTCAAAAATTCCCCCATTAATGTTAGTTCTCTTTTCTTAATCACTTGTGAAACTGAGAACAGTTATACAGTAAGGTGAGCAAAGATCTCATTGCAATCCCTCCTTTTCTAAATTGTGGTCTTTCTGGTCATAAGAAGGTCATTTTAAACCTGGAACCCAGCCAGATGAATGAAGATGCAAAATAATGCACACGTCAACTAGATTAATAAAATGAATGTCCAGGGTGCCTGGGTGGCTCAGTTGGTTAAGCGACTGCCTTCGGCTCAGGTCATGATCCTGGAGTCCCGGGATCGAGTCCCGCATCGGGCTCCCTGCTCAGTGGAGAGCCTGCTTCTGCCTCTCTCTCTGCCTGCCTCTCTGCCTACTTGTGCTTTCTCTCTGTGTGTCAAATAAATAAATAAAATCTTTAAAAAAAAAAAAATGAATG